TGTGTTTGAGCTTTTGATTTTGCCATTTGATAAAGGACTTTCTGTTTTGAAATTTCCTTGGAGTTCGGTATTTTTGCTATTTTACTTTTCACATATAAATGAAATAAAATATATCGTTAAAACTAACGTCTCGTATAAATTAAAAATAATAATAATCCTGGTCACGGCACCATAATGTTGTGAAGGAATCAAAGGTTGTAAGATGTACATTTGTATTACGTTAGCCACATTGAGGTCTGTTTGAGATGCTCATCTAATTTTGACAATAAACAATTGTCATTCAATTGGGAGGTTAAGCTAGCTATAAAACAAGGCTGCACAAGGCTTCGTCGGAAAATGTCTGTACTAAGTCAAGAATATGAGAGTTGTTTTCCATTCGTTCTGTTGGTTGATATAGTCTAAAGTTTGATTTTGTAAGGTTTAATGGACTTTATTTTTGTTAACACTTTTGGATAATGAAGATTTTAATTTGTCAAACATTGAATTAAATATGTTAATATTGAAAAACATAGAAATACATTTCAAAGTAAAATTAACAATTGTCTTTTGAATTCCGTCAAAATCTTTTAAAGTATCAAAATTACTTTCATATTACCATATTTTTATTTACTTAATGAAAAATGAAAAATACCACAAAAAAAATCTAAAAATGCATACGTGTTCCCTTAGAAATTGTTCAAAACCAGTTCTTATTCTTCTCTTTGCTGGAGGTGGCGAGTGTCCGAATGTATAATGGTCTGTTACAGCTAAAACATTTTTCTTACGTCTAGGAGTTAAAGGAAATGAGTTTCAAATTTCAGTAGCCAATCTACCCCAACTACCCCAATGTTAACCACAGAGGAGCCTTATCTCCTTTTGCTTGAGGTTTATTTGCCTGGCATAAGTCATAGTTTGCTTACCATATTGTGATGTCTTCTCTCATCTCAATTACCCAAGCATGACTGGGGAATAGAAATGGACATTCGGATCTTCTTCCGACCGGCAGTAAAATCCTTGCCAAAGTAAGCGTCAGTTTGACTGTGCGGGATGTATAAGTACTCAGCCACGTCCGTATGTGGCCTGTTGCAAGGCTAAATTTCTGACCTATTCGATTTACCCTCATTTTCCAGTGGCAGTCCTAATGTTTAGCCTATCATCCCGGTCGACCCCTATTACAGGACCTAATTTGCCACTGGACGTTAAGCAACCAACATTCAATCAATCTATCTCTCATCTCAAACCAGTAAAATCTTTGGGAAAGCTTTCCTTTGTATTTTTCTTTCCCAAATACCCAGAAATTATTGAGTTTTCACGCATTTAAAACTTCATCTTTCAACTTTGTGTGGGGTCTAAAACTGAAAATCTAGTTTCATCTCGCTTAATATATTCTTTGAATAGTAAATCCTTCTAAAATATAAGGGATTCCCAAATATGCCGGGCAGCTGGACTGAACTTTTTCACATCTCTATGGTGATCTCGTTGCATCTTTTTTTCGATTTAACAACCTGGCAAAAGTCTTCATCTTCCTCTTGGAACTTCTCAAGCTCTGTTAGTGTGTCCTGCTTTCAAAATGGTCCAAGTATTTTCTTCCTCAGCCTGGTTCCTTGTCTTAACTAACATTAAGACTTTAAATAAAATGCTTCGCTGAGCGCAGCCTTATACAACCGCAGTGGTCGAACCCTGAACAGTTGGGGCAAATTTGGACACAATATTCAAGCTTGATACGATTTGAATTTGGATTGTGATCAAATTTTTGACATAATATAGGTTTCTGACACAAAATAAATGTGGTCAAATACTGTGCAATTGAAGATTTCTTCTTGAAATTTTGAAAATTTGAAGAAAAAAAATATGAACCCTTTTAAAAAAAAAATGGGAACCCCCCTCCCCCCCAAAAACTTTTTGAATCCCACTTTTAGCATTAACCATCAAACTCAATTGCAGTCTTTCCTTTGTAGTATGGAACCTTGTAGAACAATTTTAGGGAGATCCATACACTTAATCACAAGTTACTGTCTGGAAACTAGAAAAATGCCTTTTTTAACCATAAATGGCCATTTAAATACATCATAAAAGTATCAAAATCGAAAATGACATCATAGTTATGGCTAAAATTAAAAAACCTTCATCAGCAACTTTTAATAGTAATATCTAAAAAATAAAATTCCTTCATCAGCATTTAAAAGTAACTTCTAAAAATAAATTGACAGCTAGGACTTTGCAACCATAAAAACCCATTTAAATACATCATAAAAGTATTAAAATAGAAAATGACATCATAATCATGCCTAAAATTAAAACACTTTCATCAGCAACATTAAATAGTAATATCTAAAAATAAAATTCCTTCACATACATAATCATGGCTAAAATTAAATAATTTTTAAAATAGAAAATGACATCATAATCATGCCTAAAATTAAAAAGCCTCCATCAGCAACATTAAATAGTAATATCTAAAAATAAAATTTCTTCACATACATAATCGTGGCTTTAATTAAATTACCTTTATTAAGCATTTATAAAATAGTAACTTCAAAATAAATTGACAGCTAATCACCTAAAGACAATCCATTTCTTTATAAATAATTTACAAGCAGTGTAAGGGCGGTAATTTGACAATATGTGTTTGAATTACCTCCCTTACACTGCTTTAAAATTATGTTTGTACTTGAGTAATTGTCCATTAACCTGTAAACCCTTGTTTTTCGCCCTTTTTTTGCCCTTACTTCCTAAACAATTTGAGCCATAACCCCCCAAAGCAAATTCTTACCACCCCTTTGTGATATGGTAACTTGTGGTATAATTTCAAAGAGATCCATACACCATTCCACAAGTTATTGTCTGGAAACTAGAAAAATGCTTATTTGGGCCCCATTTTGGCCCCTAATTCCTGAACTGTTAGAACCATACCCCTAAAATCAATCCCAACCTTCCTTTTGTGGTCATAAACCTAATGGTAAAATTTCATAGAAATCCATACACTTAAACAAAAGTAATTGTCCGGAAACCAATGTGTCTTCGGACGACGACGTGATACCAATATACGACCGCAAAATTTTTGCGGTCGTATAAAAATTATTCATTCCTATCTAAGGGGGGATATTAATGGAGTTACCATGCCAAGAGCTCTTTTTGTGCATTTAATCAACCTCACGGGTCATGACATAGCATCTGCATTTCTATGTTTTGGGCGTGGTCTGTATTCCACTGTATAAACAAAAGCTGACAATATTTCGATTCATCGGGCTATCCTGCCCTTTGGCTCTTTAAGATTAAATAACCAAATCAAGAGCAGGTGTTCAGTTCGGACCATAAACCTTCTGCCAAATAGGTACTGCCTTTAATATTCAATAAAATATCACAGACTGCTGACAGTTCTTTGTCTGTAATGCAATAATTGCGCTCAGTTTTATTAAAGGTGTAACTACCATAAGCGATCTCTCTTGGATTTGGCTTAAAACTGCACCAATTGCAAAATCACTTGCAGCTGTATCTTACTATGAAATATCTAGAGGATTTCCCATAAATTCTGTACTCAAAAATACTTTTTAAGTTTTTCAAATGATTATTTGCACTCATTACACCAAATAAATGCATTTGACTTCTTGGTAAGCTCTGTTCAACTCTTTCAGCTTAAACAATAAACTGCTTCGCTGAGTGCACCTGGATACGCCCGCAGAGGTCCAACCCTGAACAGTTGGGGCAAAAATGGACATAATATTCAAGCTTGATACAGGTCTGAATTTGGATTGTAATTAAATATTTGACATATTATAGGTGTCTGAATAAATGTAGTCAAAGAACTTGAAATTGGTTGTATGAATTGAATTTATATTCAATTAAAGATTTCTTGCTGTTGAAATACACTGTGCTGTTGCGCAATACTTAGTAAATTTGTTGTCAGACTATAAACAAATAAAGTTCCATTTCTTCTCAATGTGATATTTGAAATTTATGAAAATCAATAGGGAGATTACATCAATAGCTATAAATAATTCACCAAAGTTTCATGAGAACTGCTGAAAGCATTTTTGAGTTATTGTCCAAAAACTGGAAAATCCCACCTTTAGTTATTGTCTGAAAACTGGAAAATCACCCTTTTTTTATGAATAAAACCCTGCAACTCAGAAACGTAAAATCTAAAATTTATAAAAATCGAAAGGGAGCTAATGTCAATAGATATAAACAATTCACCAAAATTTCTTGCAAGTTGGTGAAAGCATTCTTGGGTTATTGTCGGAAAACTGGAAAATCCCCCCTTTTTTAATGAATAAAACCCCAAAACTCGGAAATGGTAAATCTGAAATTTATAAAAAACGAAAGGGAGCTCACGTCAATAGATATAAACAATTCACCAAAGTTTCATGCGTATTGGTTAAAGCTTTTTTGAGTTAATGTCCGACATGTTGACGACGGACGGACGGACAGACGGTCGACAGTATACCATAATACGTCCTGTAAACGGGCATATAGAAATATACTATTTTGTACTATTTTCACATTTTGAGGAGCATTGCATAAGATGATATTTTTCTTGAAATGTGTATGTTGCATGGAATGATTTTTAGAGTATGTCAAGTTGATACATGTTCATGCTTTTTCTTGAATAAATATGACAGCTGTTTACTTTTTTTGGAACTAATAATGGTATATACAAAAGATTGACAACTAAGAAATCACAAAATTTTAATCTTGTTTTGTTCATGTGTATGTCTTTTGATAATGAGCGACTCTTTGGGGTTTTATGACATTTCTGAAAAGTTTCGTAGGTCTGCTTTTATTAATTGCTTCAGGATTTGTCATTTCATAAAGCCATGTAGATGTTAAAGCCAAATCATTTTTATATTTGACAATGACAAGTTGATGACCATTGAGATTTTGTGAATTGTTCTTGTTGGTTGGCTGTCTCATTGACATTTACCACATATTTCTTCTAATGCATTTGTATTATGTCCAAAAATCTCATACTAATACAAATTTCTACAGCTAAACATCTGCATTCTTAAAACAAAAAGAAGTCAAGGTTTTAATGTTTTATTTTCAATCATGAAAGCAGTATTGTACTGTGAAAATGTTACTTTATTATTGTTACCATGTTCCAGAAACAAACACATTGTATTACCCTTTAAATTTTTTTTTACCCATCTTGTATTTCAATTATTTCAATACCTCAATTTCAATCTGTAAAGTTATTCATTTTAATATATTTCATATGGAGTTGCCAGATGTTATCAAATACAATCTTGAAAATTAATATAAATTATTGCAAATAGCTCATTACAAGAAAACCATAAGGTGATATATAATATCTATATATAATTGTCAACATTTTCATCTTTTTTCATTTGAGCCGGGATTGTTTTAAATAAATAAATTTCAATCTAGCAGACTAAAATATCCAGTATGATTAATTTCATCCAATAAGTCAATATGAACACAGACTATTTAAATATTGCATGCAAGAAAGAGCTCATTCTGAATCAGGGCTTCCAAAATTATTTTTAGCCAGCCGGACATTTTATATATTATCCCGATTTTAATCCCTTAAGACTAAATAAACAAAAGGCAATTATGGTAATCAGTTGCCGAGTTGGCCATCCCAATGATTGATTAAAAAAAAAGATATTAAACTATCTTTGATTCAAATTCGAAGTTCTGACGTAAACTGTTAAATTGGCAGTGCATCATTCGAGGTGTGCAACATCAGCGTACTTATATCTGCCTTAAGACTCTTTATTTGTGCAAAATAACGTTGTCAAAAACTTTACTTTCGTTTTTATACCGGATGTTATCTTGACAATGGTAAAACATGGACCAGAGACGGATACGTAAATTCCGTGTACGTTTGCAAAGCGTGAATGAGTGGAAGTAGCTCTTTCTACGTTATTTCTTCAAGAAAATATTCGAAATAAACGTGATATAAAGGTATCAATGACAATTTTAGCATTTTTTGAAGAAATTAGGATGCATAATTAAATTTCACACCTGCGCACACGTGTACTAGTTCAAACAGAGACATGTCTCTAGGTTCAAACAATGTGGTTATGACGATTTTACATTTTCACCTTTTTAATTTTTTCATCAAATCATATTTGTAAACGTATTTCTGATAATTTAAATCTTTGACTAAATTTATTAGATGCAAACCGCTGAAATGTAAGAAAATAACTTTGAATAGACCGATCAATGTCCGGTTCAAAATAGTTTACCTGTCACCTGAACAGGTAAATTTCAGCTGTTTGACAACTAATTAGCCTTGATTAAAATGAGAAGGTATTAAAGTAGGGGTTGTTTTGATAGTACTTAATGATCATGTCACTTTTATGACCGGAAATGTGTGGCTGTTAAAGGCAAAATGTTGGGTCAAAAAGATCGCGAATTATGTTAAAATGACCGTCTCTTAAAGCCTTGAAAACTAAAAAGTAGATGACCGTTTCATGCTTTGCCAAGCCGGACTTTTACCGGACATTATACAAATGTCCGGCATATATGACCGTTTTGGAAGCCTTGTTCTGAATCCTTAAATTAGAAAATACCCGTGGAAAAAATAGCTATAAGTAACTGTAACAGAGCAAGAACTCTAATCCTAAAACAAATTTCATATCACTTTTCAGTTAATCTTAGTATTAATGGATATAGCTGGGAATGAAGCATTTTTTTCTAAAATGTTATAATTTTATGACTATTCTTCAACACCATTTTGGTATAGTTTAAATCTCACCTATAAACAGAAACATATGTCCTATTTCATGCAAATAAAAGTAAAACGCTGTCGAATAATCATTTTTTGCTTTTCAATCAAGATAACACATAGTCACATAATAAATGTTTGTATTCTGCTACAGATTGCATATCAGTCATTACAAAGGCCATGACAATATTAACATCCGATATAAACATAGTATGGTCAAAAATGTTAGTCTGATTGTAGAATTTTAATCAATCTCCAACTGGTTATGCATATAAGGCCATTTATCTAAACAATAACTTGACTATTTTCAGTACATTCAATGTCAATAATTTTATAGATCTGATATGTTCTAACCAATGTTTTCATAAATTTATAAGAATGATTCAAAAACATATATAAATTAACAATAACATCTGTAACATTTTAAGCAGCACCACAATGGTATTTGTTTTAAAGTTTGTTTGGAATTAAATAACAATAAATTACACATTATTTTGTCCATCAACATTCACATACTCACAAAAGTAACTTTCCAATGTTTACAAGTACAAAGATGCAACAACTGTTTTACTGTGTTGAATTTTATTCATGTGACTTTTCTGTACATTTGATTTCTTTGAAATCAGGCCCAAATAAGTGTGATGAATCTTATGATATCAGAAATGGCTAGAATAACAATGATAAATATAATATAATACAAGATCATTTTTTTTTTTGTAAAATCACATTCTATATCAACCCTCCACCAATGTCACTGCCTTGAGCAAAGTTTCTGGGTATATTTCAACAGCAGGTGCATTATGAAAAATATCCCATATAATATAATCTATGTAATATCATTCGGTCTACTTCTAGAGTTTCAATATTCGAAGCAGAGAGGTTAAAGACAGAAGAGTTTCAAAGATGCCGAGAGAATCTTATAAATTTTTGTAAAAAAAAAAACATTTTTTCAAGGAGATGGTATACTTTTTCTAACAAAAATTGCAATAAAGTCACAAAAACATGGAAAATATTAAATATTTCTGTTATATTCCTAGTAATACTTGTGCTTTTCAAATATGAAGTTTCAAATGTGAAACTTTTTACAATTATTTTGCCTTTATTTCTAACCCGGGAAGAATATAAACAGAGTTTAATGTTGATCCATATATATTTAAGAGGTGTATTTTGTTCTATTGTGTGAATTTTGTAGAATTTTCTCATCTGTCATTTTAGAATTTTTGTAAATATAACCAAAAGTCGAAGAAACATCGTTTTTTTTTAAATTTCTGTAATAGTGTAATGATAAATCGAATTTTCACTCTGTAAATCTTTGGTATGCTTGGATTTTAATATCAAATATCATAAATGAACTCACAGTGAAAACATAAAGTTGTTGCACCTTTGTAAAGTTTATAACATAAGCCATAACAAACTATTCTCTCTCAATATTACACTCATACACACACATCCTCCTCAAATTATTTACAATAAGGCATTTACAACTAGTCTGCTCTTTTAGAGTCAAATTTACAAATTTTTGCAACAAATATACAATGTACAAACATAACCTTAATAGACCATAACAAACAACTAGACTTACTTTACATGTAGAGTACAAAAAATGTCATGGAATTTCATTTGTTATTTTATTAAACATCATCCTTTTCCTTCATATCTACTAAATAAATGAAGTGGTTTTTTTTATGATATAAGCACTTTTTTCATTATAGTTGGCACATGAAAGTACAAAAATTAGGTTTGTTCTAAGTTTTCTATCTAAATCTAAAACTAAATTTCTTTTTTTTTAATTTTAGAAAATTTTAATAGCATATAAATGTGTATTCATCATGTAATAATTCTATCATATAAAGCCCTCCTAAATGGTCAACCCACCCCTAAAAAATATTCTGCATGAAAAAAAAAAAATTTAATCACCAATTTTCCCTTGAAACAAACAGACCTAGTCAAAAATAGTCAAATATGTTTAATTCAGTTGTTGATGACTTTTGTCACATTTTTTAAATTTCCATGGTTTCAAAATAAAACTGATAGCACTCCCTCAAACTGAACTTAACAACTAATATTTTGGGGGACAAACAATTGCTTTTTTAGGCCACACTGCCCTGTCAGTTAATTTTACAGTTACATGTCAAGAATTACCTAAGGAGCTTACAGGATGACAAATATGATTACTTTTCACTTCCAAATATTTGGAGCTATAAATTTCATCATTTTCAAAAGATTTTTTATTTAATACGCAGCTTTTTTTAGAAAAAATATTGATAATATTAACACATATATCATATTTTAATGGTATATCAAGAAAATTGTGACTTGTGACTGAAAATTGTCATACAAAAAACACTACTCCATTATATTGTTATATTTACAGCTGGTCTACAGGTCGGTCATTTAATCTATTTTTCTATTGACTAATATACTAGACACATTGTGTAGTACTGTACTTGCATTAATATTGCTTTATAAAGATTAACTTAACTAACTCAAGTAAAACTAGACTGATTTGATGACTATCTCTATTGTAAGGAAGTTACCTTAAGTACTGTAAGAAATTTAATTTTGTATGCAACGGATCATGTTTTTGACGAATATGTTAACATGGATACATGATAAACAACAAGGTCAATATATTGATAACTTTTCATAAGTATGCATTCCTACAGTATTTATAACAATTGATGAAGATGGTAAAAGTTTTCAACAGTACAGAAACTGAAATAGCATATTTATATTGAAGGATTTCAAGACTTTAACATTTTAAAAATTGTCACTCATCTATAAAATCAACTTATATAACTCAAATGAAACAAGACTTGTTTTATGACTATGTCTATGACAATTGTTTGAAATATGAAGTCACTTTTTTAGTTCCGTATCTCAGTCATTTCTGATTGGTAGCCATTTAACAAAACTTATTACTGACAACTTCATACTGAAATATGAATAGAAAGAATGAAGAAATTCTGGTACTAAAATAGAATAAAACTGTTTTGAAATCTTAAATTTGTGAATATATACAATGAACTTTTTAAAATTTGGTATGTTACACTTGAAATAATCATTTTGAGATTTTGACTTTTTGCAATGTAAAATTTACTGAAAATAGCACAAGTTATTAAAGCACTAAACACATATATTGCATTGCATCAATTGGTTGATATTTTGTGACTTAATGTAGTGACTTTGTAATTCGTAATGAACAGCAGTCTGTCAATAATTCAAATGCATTCTTATGATATGAAAACAGACACAACAAAACATTTCTTTTAAAATTAACATTCATATTCCTTAAATATTTTCTGCAGTTTCAACGTAATTTTTCAAACATTTACACAATTATATTGTGTCACACTCACAAGTCATCAGTATAATATCTTTACAATCACAGACTATTTATAGCTCATCTCATCATTACCAAATATGTCAAATGTCAACCAGCCTCTCTCTCTCTCTATCTCTATCTCACATATGCACAATACTGTAATTTACATGAATTTATGAACTGACAGGAAAGTCAGTTCTTATCCTTCGTCATGACTTGGCTTTCATAAAGAAATTCTGTAAATAAATAACAAATATCATTACAAATAAAGATATGATATCTTCACATCCTTAAAATCAAATATGCTGTACAATCTTACAATTGTTGAAAATGGCTGCTGAAAATTGAGAAAAAAAAAACTGATTTGATTTTTTGAATGATCAACAATTAGATTATTACTAAAAAAAATTGTCTATTATTATTGCTGAAGACAATGCATTAAACCCTAGATGGGTTTTTTTTTGTTTTATTAGGTTGCTGTCTCAATGCTATACTTTTCCTAATATTCATATTTTATTATTCTTCCTCAAACTTGAACTGTTTTTTATATCAATTAACATCTTTATTGCAGTTATATCTTATGTGACATAAGCGTTGCTAACAATGGTTAGAAAAGATCACTCCTTAACATAAAATTCCATAAATTGTTTGTATGTAAATCTATTTAAATTTTCATATGAATATCTGTTTAAATCTAATTCTCATCTATCATTTAGATTGTAAAAAATTTGGTAGAATAATAAGAGAAATAAAAAAAAATCAATACATATTCAACTTTTCCCAACCCTACAGATCTAAAACCTACCTTAAAATATGTCCTAAACAGTTTGCTGTCAGCTTTTAAAACTTGGCAAAACTCCTGAAAATTAAAACGCATAGTTAATTGATTCATCATAAATAAACATTTTCACCTTAACTTTTTTTAGGAAATGATAAAAGTTGATTGGTGAAAAACGTATAAAAGAACACAAGCATTTTTGATTTTTTTTTTGTAGACTATTTTTATAAAATTTAGGTTTACTAATAATGGCAAATATAAATGAAAACTAATTGATTCGCTTTTTCAACGAATAAAGTTCCATAACTCCTCAATATCATATCAGAAATTCATAAAAAAACTAAGGGAGCTTATTTTTATAGATATAAACCAGTCACCAGAGTTACATGAAAACTGCTCAAAGCATTTTTGAGTCATTGTCTGGAAACTGAAAAATCCCCCCTTATTTATGAATAAAATCCAATAAATCGGAAACGTAAAATCTAAAAATTTTAAAAATCAAAAGGGAGCTTACGTCAATAGATATAAACAATTCACCAAAGCACATGAAAATTAGTTTAAATCTTTATGAGATATTGTCAGACATGTTGACGATGGACGGACAGACGGACAATGGTATATCATAACATGTCCTGTAAAAAGTTAAGTAACTAACATTAACAATTAGTCAAATAATTATTAGAATACTACTCATATCATCAGATAACTGTGATCACTAACCTCTGTCTGTTGTTGTGACAACTGTAATGTAGGTAGGTATTCTGACAGTAAATATTGTATCATCTCATCTCCCTGTAGGCAAATAATAATAGTTATGCATTTTAAGTTTTATATGCATTACAAAACAAAATAAGAGACTTAAAAAAACAAAATTTACCCCAATTTGTTAATTGTTTAAGGACTTTATATTTCTTTTGTTTTTAATACATTAATTTCATACAGTGCAAATACAAAAATCCTTTTTTATTATAGTCTTACACAAAATATTTTCCTTTTGAAATAAAATTGAGAATGGAAACTGGGAATGTGTAAAAGAGACAACAACCCGACCAAAGCACAGAAAACAGCCCAAGGCCACCAATGGGTCTTGAACACAGCGAAAAAATCCTGCACCCTGAGGCAGGCTTCAGCTACTATTAAACAGATATGAACAATTCAGACAATTCGCTGTTTCAAAATCTAAAAGACTATGGGTCATTTAATTTTTTGTACACCAATATGCAAATTATGTCCCAACATCGATTCAGTTTCCATTGTTTATGATGATTTTAACCAATTACTGCATTATGATGTATGCTTATTAAAATATTACTCAGAATGCATTAGATTTTGAATCAATGAATTACATTTCAACTCTACAGTATATCATTATTTACCAAATATGTGCCAGAAAATTTTTAAGAATCTTAAATGTTGAATAACTTACCCTTTTTCCATAAATTTCTCTTAAACAATTTGAACATTCACCTAAAGCCTGTAAAAAAGAACAAAACAATCTGTATTATTGTATGAAAAAAAAAGACTTCACTATTGATTACACATACATTCTATAAAATGGTTCTAAAAATTCAATGACTTAAAATACATGTCAAATACTAGGGTTTTATCCCTCTCAATTACTTTAAAAGGAAATAAAAGCATATATCATTTTAAAAAACATGAACCGCACAAAATACCTATTTTGCATAAAACTCTTACTTACAAGAGACGTCTGTCCATCATTTAAATCAAAGCTAGGTTTCATTGGTGCCATCAAACAAGCAGGAATAATACTTTTATACATAAAATCAACAAAACCAGCCATTCCATCATTTCCACCTATCAATACATAGAAAATGAAATATTATAAACATGTACAAAATTAGCAGATAATTACTTTTCCTCCTCAACCACTCCAAATTCTTCTGAACTTTTTTTTTTATCATGAACCCCTCCCTCAAATTTCATGAGAATCTGGTTATTATTTTTTCAACTTATCAAAACATGATAAAGAGCCTTAACTATATGTCTAATTCTATTGTATTGGTCTAAATTGTTTTAATTCAAGTACAGATAAATAGGGAGGTGTATAACTTAATACTGATTCTCTTTTATAATCCCTGAACCATATCAACCTTTTGGAAGATTTCTATCTCTTTTCTCTATTTCGATCAATTTAAGAGAAATTTACTATTTTGATCTTTATGATGTCACTCACTGGAAGAAAAAACCAATTTTATTGCATTCAGCCCTCCCAGAGTATTTTAGTTCATCCGTGTTTTAAGTGGGTTTTATTGCACAATTTTTGGGGTTTTTTTTCTGTGTGATTTAAGTAGACATTTCACTTGTCTTTTCATATTTTGTATTTTGGCCATCTTTTTTTTTTACTGTCCCCTATGTATGTCTCCTTTTTTATTCATTGGTGAATGAAAATTAATAATGATCAAATAAATATGTGTTACTCTTAAAACATTGTTAATATAAAGCAGTGGAACTTACCCCATGAATCAACAAGCTTTCTCAGTATATTAAAGCACATTTTCTGACTCTGAATTAGAAAATAATTGTTACTTCAGATGTAAAACAAGTTAAATTGTACTGAGTTGTATTTATTTCTGAATATTTCTGAAAGCAAACTTTTTGCAGCTGCATTTAAAAAGCATGTTATTTTGCAGTTATATTTTCTAGGAAAAGAGATGACTGTCCTAAGTCAGGTGCCATTAATTCAGTGGTTGCTGTTTGTCATATTTGTTTTTCTTTTATTGCTCATGAATCAAGACGGTTTGTTTTCTTGTTTGAATTGTTTCAAATCTTGTCATGACAGGCCTTCTATAGCTGAATATACCGAATGTGTTTGGCTCATATTTGAGGCCGTACAGTGACTTATAATTTCTTCGTTCATGTCATTTGGCCTCCGTGGGATAGCTGTCTCATTGGCAATCATATCATTTTTTCCTTTATTATTATGAGGATCCTCTTGGGACTGTTTTCCAAGAATACTCACTTTATTCCTAGGTAAAAATATATTGAAATATCATTTTAGTTAGTATATATGTACCTATAGTAAAGGTAGTAAAAATACTTTCAAACTTTCAGCATCCTTTCAGATTTACAATTTATCAGTTACAGTTAATAGAAAAATAAAGGATATAGTGTATCCATCCATGACACAAAATCAGTACATTCACAGCAAAAAAAAACAACACACAATAAGCAAAGGAGCAGCGCTTCTATTGCTGTTCTTCATCTCAAAGTCACAGTGAGGCCTTCAACACGGAGCAAAAAACTCTCACTTCACTTCAAGTTTTAGACGGCCCCTAGTACCGGCTTGAGCGGAATTCTTTGCGAAAATAAAATTTGTTAACCTTTCTAGAATGAACTATCAGTACATACCTGAGGGTCGGGAATATCAACAGCACCTTGTATAAATGTAATTAACACCTGATTTAAGTTTTGCATGTCTGAAAGAAAATTTAAAAACATCATGAAATTAATCATTAAATGATGATCATCATTGTTTGGTGTTTAACATCCAGTACCAAATATTACATACATGTTATTGTGAGATATACTAATATGATACCTGCTTTTTGCTAGACTGACAATTTTCCCAGATTTTTGAAGTACTTGTGTACAAAGTAATAGTATGCAGTAAGACATGCCTCCCTACTAGAACACATTATCTTACTCCTAAATGCCAGAGAAGCAGCAAATACTAATGTTTAAGAAAAGGGATCAAACCTTTGACCTCTCAAACTCAAGAAGAGCACATTTACACCAGATCAAATGCTGATACTACTTAAGTTTGTCCAATTCTTATGCCTTTGCATAATGTAATCTGAACTTATTCAATGCACAATAACTTTTGAAAGTTCAAACAGGACTTTCAATAAATAATTTAAATGAGTACAAAAGAAAATTAATTCACAAAAAAAAATATCTTCGAATAGGCACTTTCATAATTAGTTTGAGCCCATGTGCCATGAAGGTGACGAATTGGTTTTATAATTTGAATTGTTGTTATATTTTGTCATGTCAGGGCTTTTTTAAAGCTTGCTAGCTATTCCATATGGGTTTTGCTCATTGTTGAAGTTGTACGGTAACCTACAGTCTGGCTGATTTATGAGAACTTGTTGTTTGACATTTCATTATTTTCAACAAAATTTTCACCCAGTCTTGTACGTTTAGCTAGAATGCATTTTCCTTAAAATAAGAACTTTTCAAACCATGAGTATGATTCCAACCTATTGCAAAAATCCATTATAAATAACAAAAAATAATATCAGCAGTACACACTGTAATCTATAATTCCTATGCATAATAATTCTTAATACACATATATCTTACCTTGATTTTTCAATACATCCAGAACATCATTGCACACAATAGTACATATAAATAAATAATAACTCCTCTGTAACATCTTTTTATCATTAGCTGTCACCTGGTCCAATTCATCAGTAGGTGTTGTCAACACTTGATAAATGGTACTAACTAAAGGCATAAATACCTCTTGTAGAAATGGTGATATGGCACTCTAAAAAGTAGAAAATGTCATATGAAAACATTAATATGGAAATTTGAATAAAATAGTAATTTGAAAACTGACAAATAAAATTATTAATTAAAAATTAAAAATTTTTAATTTAATTTGCATATCTGCTGAAATTCTTCCAACTATAATCAGACACAGAACCATAATTTGGCATTTATTTTAAAAACTTCATCCTTATGACCATATGTTCAAAGTTTCAGGTTGATGTGACCACAAAGTGACTGTGACCAAAACTTTAACCTGATATGTGACAGAGGGAAAGACAAATGAATGCACAAACAGATAAGAAAACGTAATATCCACAACTCTTGTAGGTGGCACATGAAAAACCTCAGTTTGCTATTTCCTCTAGTTTGTTGTGTTTCTCCATGATAAGTTGCTTCTAAAGTAATTGGATATGCACATTTTGGTGTTCACTATTTGGTCTTCATTTACAGTGTGTCTAAACTCCAAGTGATATAGTATTTAATGTATAGTATGTTCACCATTGAAAACCAATGGTGACCTCTAAATGTCTATTTTGATTCACTTGTGTTGTTGGATTGCAGTCTCTTGAAGGTTTCACACATCTCTGTATATCCACATGTATGTTTTAGAACTTACTTTAAATTTCATAATCATCTGATTCATCAAGGGTAGAAAATCATGTAATTCCCTTGCATCAGGCTGCTTCAATAAATTCTCTAAAACAACAGGAACGAAAGGAAGTATCTCCTTCTCCATACACACAACCATTCTATGTAAATATTGCCGCACCCCTGAATATAGAAAAACAGCACATGGATAAATCAGCATCATTGTATCTGCTTATCATAAGGTTGGTTCTGTTTGTAATGATTTTAAACATTAATTGAATTCTAAATCCAATTCACACAGAAAACTGACCTGCAATACTCAAAGCACCATAATTGACAACTGGACTTTAAAACAATACTATTTTATAGTCTTGCTGACAGTCAAAGAATTGTTAAAGAAACAACACTGATTAAAACATAGGCATCTGAACTGAAGAAAATGTTTTTAATGCATGAAACAATGGTCAATGGATCATACAATAATTTTTATAATAAACAATAAGTTCAATGCTTTTTGTTCCCTACAATTTTCAATTACTCCAACAACTTCCTACCAGTAAAAAATCACTCAAAGGAAACTGGTAATCAAGGTTTTAAAGTCAAGACTGTATAAATATATTTTTTTTACTGACAATATTTTTCCACACCAGTTACCTCTAAATTTGAATTTTTCAGTATGTCATTATTCTGAGTTCGAATGTCTATTATCTTTTTCAAACATATCACCTCTAACAGAATCTCATTATCAATACTATTGTGTAATATTTACCTGTATGAATTAATTGTCTGTGTATTGGCACATTAACAGCTTGTAAAAACAATCGTAACAGATCTGTAAACGTATCAACACATCCACACACCTGCATAGTTTGCTGACTAGAAAATCCTTTACTGACTCGACTGAAAAGACAAAAATATTCAATACATTTTAAAACATCTTAAAATTTCCCCTTACTTTTCTAGATCAGATTTTTTTGGTAACAACAAAATTCTACTATCACTGTCAAAATACATAAATCTTGCATACATATTTCCTTTTGCATAATGCTTTTCCTTGAGTAGTTGTAGATGTTTAACGTGTGAACTTCAGCAAACCTGGGAAAACCTTATTTTCACTACTTAAATTGACGAGGGCAGTTCCAGAATTAAATGCATTTGGGGAAGGGGGTATAGGAAGCACTTTTATAGACCCTAACCATTTATAATATAAAATTTTCAAATACTTTATAATTCTTACAAATTCCAAGGAAATGCAACCAAACACAATTAATTTAATGTAAACATATTTTATAAAAGACATCCATATAGCTACAAGACTAAAGATTTAAATACGAAATATACAAGTAATTCAATAATTGGGATTAGGAAACAAGAGCAGTGCTCTTATATAAATCTGTCTCCCTAATTAATTAATTTAAATGCATCCCACCCCTCCACCATGATCAATTTTGGAACAGCTAAGTTCTTAAACAACAGTATAAAGGCATTCTAAGTTTAGCACATTATATCCATACCTTGCAAGAGCAGTGGCAGTGTTGATACTTTGAGCATAAGCAAGTTGCTTTTCTTGATTAGTTTCTGCAACAAGTTTGGTTAATAAACTTTCAAATTTTGTTGCTATAGGAGATAAGAGATTTTTCATCAATGTCTGCTTTTTCTGAAAAAAAACAAGTTAAGAGATAAGATGAGAACATGAAAATCTCTGCAAGAAGACTAGTCTGATACTTAACAACATTAACTGACACTGAAATTTTTAATATAATACAGATCTGGGTTCATTTTTCATGCAGACATTTAGTACTTTTTTTCAAAATTCATGCAAGAGTATGTTGGTACGAATGATTAATAATCTTCTCTTCAATAACCACAAGTTATATTTTTCCTGAACATTTACTACTTTTATGTGAATTTTAATGAAATCCATTACAAAGTTTAGAAGTTGTGTTAATAAGGTAAATGTGCAATTTTTTTTATCTCCCCTTTGAAGTATATAAAATTATTTTTTTAATGTACATCTTCATACAGTTTGGAACCTCTGTCTGAAGTTAACCGGAAATTCATGGCATGGTTTAAGGTAAGTTCAATGTTTTTTAAGATGACCCATGCACAATTTTGTATGCTTAATAGTTGAATGCAAAAATGATGAATCCTAAAAAAGTTTTTCTCCCCTTCAAGACAGCAGACAAGAATTCTTTTCATGCAAATGCTCAAATGATGTTCTAAATTTCACTGATATCCATTCAATTGTTGAGGACTAGGTTCCCTGTCAAGATGCATGGACAGAGGACTGAGAAAATGATTTTTTTTAATATCAACCTGCTCCAAAACTGTATAAGGGTACTTTTAAAAAATAAAACAATATTTTACCTCACTTGGAAGATTACTGCAAACAATCAAGCTTCCAGCAGTTTCATAAAGAAACAACTGATCATCAGATGACAAAAGATGCTGGTACCCATTGTCTGGTGTATTTAGTACCAGTAGATCTTGAATTCTCTGTAAAATCTCCTCAACATAGTTATGGATGTGAGACCTGTAAAATATAACATTATCATTTTATTTTTTGAGAAGACACAGAATTTCTGATTGTTCTATTATTAACATATTTCTTGCTTCTTTATTTTTACCAGGAAAATCAATAGACTATGATAGTTTTCTTTCACAAATAAGACCCATGTTTTACAGAAGGAAATAGGACTTATGATTAGTCATAAATCTTTAATAAACCATACAAATTTATTACTGGTGGTAAATTGCACAAACATTTATGAATCACAGGCCATAATTTAATTTACCATTCATTTTAACTTTATCTATGAGGCTAACTTGGCAGAGTTGTCTTGGTTTTTATTTTTCCTCTACTTAAATTACTTTGAGTAGCTGAGGACCACCTCCGGGTGCGGGATTTTCCCGCTGCATTGAAGACCCATTGGTGGCCTTCGGCTGTTGTCTGCTCTTTGGTCGGGTTGTTGTCTCTTTGACATATTCCCCATTTCCATTCTCAATTTTATTTGATTTATCATCCCTATGCTAATGGTTAACTTTTGCAAAGATCATAATCTCTACTGAACCAATACCGGACAAGAGTATGCTAGTTAATCTCAAAAAGGACACCAATACTACTACTCTAAATATTTGTTGGATGTGTTGTTTAGACCCTGTCTCAATTGAGTATACATCATATCTTCATTTATTTATATCATGACATCATGGAAATGATAAAAAGAAAGATGTGTAAAATCCTATTAAACAGTGTCTATTTTCATTATTGTTTGAATTTCACTCCTATTTATAATTACACAACAAATACATTGTAAAGGTTATTTTGAAAGTATATTATAACATCAACAGATATAAATAAGCTTACCTTACACCTTTAACAAATCTGGAAAATAAATATGATGCACGACTTCTAACTTGTGCTGATCGATGTCGAAATCCTCTTTCATCAGTGAAAGCCATCTGTCAAAACATGAAAGTATATTTTGACTTTATATAAATATAAATAATGAACAAAATTATGATATTAATGAGAACTAAATTTCACTAGATTAAATTGTCATAGCGTTCTAAAAAAGCAAGTACTGTAACTTTCATAGATTCAGGAAAAAGTATTTTTATAGATGCTTGATGGGAAATTTGCATTTCCTTGAATATTAAATTCAGGGTTCACCTATGTTCACGAAAATTTTTTTTTTTGTCATCACCTTCATTTGCCAAGGTAAATGAAACTGAGCTATCTGGCTTAACAGAAGAAATAGGTATTTACACTCATCCAATAATTTTGCCCTTGTTTTGAAGTCTTTCAAACTTAAAAAAAGACTCATAAAAGAACTTATCAATCTTATCTATTTTAAGGCAAGTTACATACTAGTACGTCAGGAATGTGTTGTGGTTCTACACTAAAGAATTTATCAATCTTATACATATTAAGGCAAGATACATACTAGTACGTCAGGAATGTGTTGTGGTTCTACACTAAAGAATTTATCATATCTCACTACAGTCTCAAAGAACTGTAACATGACAGACATGTGACCCTGGCAACTCACACGACTTGTAATTAACTGTAAATAAACAAAATAGTTACATATTCTACATTTTTCATGATATATAACATAAGGCCAAAAAATATAATATCTAGTTCAGTTTCCTGCATCCCTACCTTCCCTAGATTTTCTATTGCTTACCCTTCCACATTTTATAGACATTTTTGGTAAAGCACCGCTAAAATCCAGATTTATATGGTTAAGCACCATTTAAGTCCTGAACACATATTCCGATATTGCCTATGTCAAATATTTTTTTTAAAAATTCAGCAATTTTTCCATTTGTAAAGGGGCATAACTCTAGAACGGTTTAAGTGACGCCACCCAAATTCAAACTTGATCTGTGTTTTGTGGTAGTAAACATTGTGTATAAGTTTCATAATATTTGGTTGAGGCAAACTAAAGTAAGGGAATGGAAACGAAAAATTCAGCAATTTTTCCATTTGTAACGGGGCATAACTCGAGAACAGTTAAGGGCATACGATACAGTAGCAGGGGCAGATAATAACGTTTTCAAAACTGTTCGTGTTGTTTTCGCGACGTTGTTAATCAGAACGTTGTAATTTCGCGATGTTTCTAATAAGAACGATTACATTTCGCGACGTTGCTTTAGATGTAGTCACATTTGCGGAAAATCCACTGACGTCATAATCCCGATTGCGCGAAATTGAAAAAAGTACCTGCAATGAAAATCGGCCAAATCACGAGAATTGTTATATTTATTCATTAATAAGGAAGTCAACAATATTAACTTCGAATTGGAAAAAAATCAAATCCACATTCTTAACTTTGTATGTCTGTTATTTCATATAGGAAATGAATAAGAGATATGAAAAACATAAGACGTCGATGAGAGAGAAACCCAACTACACAAAAAAAAACCCAAAACAATAAGTAATTTATATAGTAACTTCATCATTTGGCTCACAAAAAAACGTAATAAATAATGACAACGCATCTTACTGTTCCTGACTTTGAAAAGGTACAATAAAGAGTTTAACGACATTTTTAGAATTTAACCCGTGGAATATATATGTGTATGAAGAAGAACTGTCAGTTAAAATGACACAGTTATAAGCCTCGTATTATAGCCCAAAAACAAAAACGCACCCGTTGATGTGCTAAGCATATCCTCTATGTACATATTGAGAGAGAAAAATCGGCACACAGGAATTAGGTATTTGACAGACCAGAGTTGCAACTCATTGATGTTAAGTTACTGAACAATACGAAGTCTTTTTGTAAAGAAGTTTCTCAGATAAGAAACAAAATATTTGTTGGACCGGAAAAACAATGTGGTTGCACTCACTCCTAGATTGAAGGTAAAATACAGACAAGTAATTAAATGATTATATGTACCGTAATAAAAAAAAATACCCTGAAGACAAGCTTAGGTAACTTATCTATTGATACAGAATCATTAAATTTCATGCTCTTATATCGACTGCTGTATGAAATGTTATACTAGTACTACACTGTAATGGACTAAGCTGACCCGATTTAATGTGGGTATGATTTTGTGTTCATGCAATGCCTATAGAGTAGGTCGTTAGTTTTCTTATTTGAATTATTTCACATTTTCATGTCTGGGCTTTTTAAAGCTGACTATACGGTGTGGCTTTTTTTTTCTTTTTTTTTTTTGTGTTGAAGGCCGTAGGGTTACCTTTAATAGCGTTTATCTTCGTCATTTGAACTATGGTTGATAGTTGTCTCTTTTGCAATCATACCAAATGTCCTTATTTTTATATCATCCCCCTTACTTTATAATTGTTGCACATTTTGTCATGTCGGGGCCTTTTGAACAATTAAAACTATGTTCAAGCTGTGTTGTCTACATGAATTGTATGACTAATGTGGGACATGCAGAGATGCAAATTATTTTTTTTATTATATATATCTGTTTTGTTTCCGAACATGTCTTTTCTAAAAGTAATTTACTAGAATACTTTTTCTATCCAAGTTTCGTAACAATTCATAAAGGTTTGGCAAATATGATGCTATTTACGAGGAGCCAGCTTTATTAATTTTCATGATTAATATCATTGGTTTAAAAAAAAACACCTTGGCTCTACCACTGAAATTGACAACGTAGTAGTGAACGGCGGGAAAGATTTCACGACGTTGTTGCGAATAAAACTTATTCCAACGTAGTTTGGCGCCTTATTGGCAAACGTCCCGTTTGCCAATAAAAATTAAGGTTTATTGCTTTTATTGAAAAAACAAGCACATGGACCCCCAGTTTTTTCTTTTGCAATCAATCAAGTTCTGTTTCAAGAACGCTCCGCCAAAATTTTAAGAAAAAATCAACGATAGAATTTTTTCTGCACTTCTGTGTAGACACAAAAATATTTTCATCTTCTTTATTTCACTTGTATTAAAAGAATTTAGGATATAATTATTTATTTCAACCGTTAACTTGTTACAGCATGCTGATGCCATGGATCAAGGGAACATTTTACAAAAAACCCGGTTAAATTATGACTGTATTGGTACTTTTCTTAAAAGTCCTGATTTTTGAAATTTCAGGGTTTTTCCTTCAAATATGCAAATTTCGAACCAAATTATCTCAAAAAGTAAGTCATGAAGGTATATTTTTCTTTGCATATTTCAAAAGTACACATCGAAATTGACCTTCTACCAAAATTTCAAGAAAAAATCAACGAGGGATCTCTACTGTATCGTATGCCCTTAAAGTGACCCCACCAAAATTCAAACTTGATCTGTGTTTTGTGGTAATAAGCACTTTGTATAAGTTTCATAACATTTGGTTGATGCAAACTAAAGTTAGAGAACGGAAACCAACTTTGGGACGTACAGATGGACAAGGGTAAACTTAATGCCCCCTCCGCTACGGTGGGGGGATAAAAATAAAATTCAGTTTACCTACCTACCGACGTACCTATCCCATTTGTTATTGGCAAAATGACAGAAAACAAGTTGGTTATTTTTAGGCCTTAAAGCAATGTAACCATGGCATACCATAATATATTATTCTATATGCTTAAACATGGCTGTTTAATGTCTTTGTTTATATACTAACTCTTCTATATTATTTCATATGGTTATTCCTCTCTGCACAATAGGTAAATTAATAAATCGATCCTTTTTCCATATCATTTTCTTATACAGTTACTTTACCTAAAGGATATTATTTTATAACTTAAGAATAGCATACATTGTACACAGTAAATGTCATTATGTACATGCCAACTTCAATTTTCAAATAGCCCTTACCAATCTCATCATTTCCTGCAAAACAGATGCCTTAGTTAGATCCCCACTGAAATGCTGGCCTTGTGTAGCCTGCAAAATAAAATTTCTGTTGTCATTTTCTTTTTCCTGTAATTAAAAAGAGCAATGGATAAAATCTATGGTTATTGTAGAACATTTTTTTGTCTTCCACCATGTTAGGAGTCCATAACAATATAAGTATGGAAACTTAAAAGGGTAATCTACCATATAATTGTCAGTAATATTTTCTATTTTTTTTGGTCAAAACAATTTAGTTTTCAATGTTTTAAGAAAATTCAAGTATTGTCATTTTTATTACGAAGCTATAAATCTAAATTTTTTTTTTATTTATCTAAACTAGATGTATTTTTGTGACACATCAAGTGTGTATAATCAACGCAAATTTATCACATAAAGACCATTGCTTATCCATTTGCAAGAAAAGAAAAAATGTTTTCCCCTCTGTATTTACCGGCAATGCTTCTCCTAGTTGATATAATAGACTAATGGCTAATTCTGTCTCTAACTGGTCCATCCTTTCCCAGTTAGGTAAAGTCTGTGTCAAAATATTATGAACTGTTACTATTATTAGCTGAGCATCCTGAAATAGAACAAAAATGTAAATATTTATCTTTTCCATTCTTAGAAACATGCACAAATGTTCAAGATTTCAAGGATAAATACTGTAATATCTTAATTTCTTGTTTTTAACACAGCTCATGCTTTACATGAAAAATATCACAAATATAACCTCTGATTGTCTGAATGAAGTCTTGTGTTACAACTATTTAGTTCTTATATAAGTCTCTATTATTTTAATTTATCTTGTTAAGTCTAGTTTTTCCACATTTTCTGGTAAATATAAAAGAAGCAATTGTATACTTTAAAAGTACCGAGGTATTTTTAATCCTGCTTTGATTACAATGAGCATTTCAAAGGCATGTAAAATTAACTATTGTTTGAATAAACCTACTAAAGCAGCTAAATTGTTAAAAATAGTCTTCAACTGTTTTCTGTACTCCTGAAACATGGCTTCTTCTTCTCCCTGAAAAATAGATGCATTAGTTTTTTTCTTTGAGGTTAATTCCAGAGAGAAAATACATGTGCGTTTGAATGCTCTACTTCAACAACCTGCCACGAATGTTGGAATGATAAATTATAGTGAGGTAGACAGGGGCAACAAAATAACAAGGTGAGTTCATGCACATACAGTAACTAGTGTGTAAATAAAAAGAAAATCATCAAAATAAAGAGATCTAAAATATAATGTTTTTGTGCCTCCATATAGTTTGTTCAACTATTAATGAACATGCAGACAAACTTAATCTTTTAAGAAATAAGTATACACTCACTTACCTCATGTTCAAAATCATAAGACTCATCATAAGTCATCTTTTTTATAACAATGTACAACAGACCCTGAAAATAAAGATGTAATTTTTTTTAAAGAAAACTGGGTTAAACACATAATTACAAAACACATGTGAATTTTTCTGTATTTTTTTGTCAATTAAATATATTAACAATCAGTGAATTTCTACAATCTGAAAAGCTTGTTTCTATGTTCAATGAACCAATGACAAAATCTGTGAACATCAGTTTAGAATGATGTACTAACGTTCCCTATTTCTCTGTAAGGACCTTGTGTCAGTAATAACATATTATTAAAGTATGTAATCATCACATGAGAGACAGATTGCTATAAAAAAAACAACAACAAACAAAAAACACATTTTTGAAGTTTTTTATTAAAATTTCTTAAATAATACAATATATATTATGTGAAATAAATATACACTATAAATACTTGCAACAATCATAACAAACTGATGAATAAACATTAGGAATTGTAACATCAAATATACAGAAATTAGCAAAAAAGTGTATGGACACAAGTAGTCACTAATTTTCAATCTATATTTAATATAAAACCTCAATTCAATATTTCAAAATTTTCTTGTGGTCACTTCTGGTAAGATTTAAATCAGCTTGGTACCAAAAGTAAAATTGTGACTGGTTTAATTTTTTAATTGGTATAAATTTAGTTTCATTAATTTTCAACTGAAGTAAAACCATTAATAAACAGAAGTAGCTATATAGTGAATACCAATTAATATCCTATATTAAGAATGAAAGGAAAGACATATATCAAACCATGTGAAAGCAGACAACAGAAAGCACAGGGTTTAGCTAACCAATTTTTAACTTAGTACCAATATTTAACTGAGTACCAATATTTAACTTTGTACATTTTTTAACTGAATACCAATATTTAACTTAATACCAATATATAACTTAGTACCAATATATAACTTAGTACCAATATTTAACTTAGTACCAATTTTAACTTAATACCAATATTTAACTGAATACCAATATATAACTTTGTACCAATATTTAACTTAGTACCAATATTAAACTTAATACCAATATTTAACTTAGTACCAATATATAACTTAGTACCAAATATCAAGACGTTTTGATTTATAGTTGCTTAGAACAAGGGAAAAATAATTTCTTATATATATATTAATGTGAAGAACAAACATGCATGCGGCTAACAGGAAGTTGATAAGTTACTGATCTGAAAATGTGTCTAACAGTATAGGCTACCAATATGAAGCTTGGTACTAAAAATTTAGAGGCTCTGCTTTCTAGTTATTGAGAAAAATGCAACAAAATTGTGTTACAAATAGACAAACAGACATAACACAGTATACCAGTTCCTATAGGGCGGGAGGGTCTGTTATCATGTGTTTACTTCAGGAGAAAACAACTTGAAACAATTCTGTGTGTTTCAACACTTGAGTTGCTAATATGCAACCTAAAAAAATCTTATTTTTTTATAGCAAAAGTTGTAGGTGACTTCAACTTATGTCCATGCACAGTAACAACTAAATGACTACATCATAAACTTTCTCAAAAATAGAAATAACATTGAACACAACTAAATATAGTGAAACTTGTATTTATGTAAAGACAAAAACTGTTGACACAGAGATATGTCACATATGTATCTAATTTTGATAGTATAATGCAAACGTTGAAATAAAAATAGCAACACTTTACCATGTAAACTGTGAAAAACTATAAAGTCATTGAAACATGAATGAGGGTGCAGGCAAAATTATCTACGTGGAATGTTTATAATGCTGCCTACCAAATACCATATCACAAGTGGTTCCCCTTAAACTGACGTAAGTACAAACTCTAAAATCTTCATGGAAATAAGATGTACTAATGCATATTCAACTGCATACCAAATATTACTGACTTACCATTGGTGGCTCCCCTTAATCTGACCTGATCACAAACTTCAACAAATTGTTGATGCTGCACTGCTGACTCTTGCCTCCAAAACTTTGTCAAGGCAAGACAAAATTACAATACTGATTGTATTTATGTAAGCAATACAGTCCAATGAGATGTCCAATCAAGGCATCCTTCATGTTTTCAGTCATCCGATCAGACTTGATCATTAAAAGCAGTATTTCCATACATAAAATTTTTTCTTTTACAAATGTTTTTTCGAAGCAATTGTTCAAAGCTCTTTTTTGCAAGTACTGAAAGGGATATACAAACTTCTTGGTTAAAAGTCTCTAACTTTTGTAGATCTTATTCATATGAAGCAGAATCAACAGTTAAATGGATTGAATTGTCTCCCTTTGTATATAAATATATTAGAAGAAAAAATATTGAGGGTCCCACAAAACTTTGTGTTTCTCTACTATTTCAGATGTCAATGTAAATGTGTAATGTTGACCGCCAAAAAACTAATTCTTACTTGTCTGAGGTCATACAACAATAGGTGCTGTCAAGACGTTGCCGATGACTTTGCATCAAAGCAAATCAAGAATGCGTAGAAAAAGATATAGTTCCTTGCATTTTCTACTTTATTTCCATTAAAAAGCCCATTGTCAATGTAATAAAAAGATTAACTAATCAAAGAATTCAAATATTGAAAAATATTCAACTCGTGACCAGACAACACAGATAATTGACTCATGCGCATTAGTTATTCTATAATTCTTTTTCAGTATAATTTTATTTTGCATATGTTCTCTCATACCTTTAAGCTACTGATGCAATAAATCTCATAACAGATGCATTCTATACAAAAGTATCAAAATAATAAATCATGCAATCTGTCAACATTGAAAGTCTAGAAGCTCCTTAAAGAAAACAACAAAAGAGGAAGAATGATAACAGTCATTGTCTGGCCTCTTAAGATTCCAAAAATAGTAATATTCTTCAATCCTGTCTAAATCGCAGTAGTTTAAATAATAATTTATTATTATATAATCTGTATATTTTAGAACAGATATGTTACTAAATGTAAGTGATGTAACTATGACTTCATTATCTTGTTAAAATTGACATATTTGACCCAATTTTAATTTAAGCTAAATTAGGTAAGAGCCAAGGCCTTACCCAAAAAGATATTTAACTCACATTGACATCTTTGAATAAGACACCATGAAATTTTTTATCTTTTTGGGTAAGGTCTTTGCTCTGGTCTCAAGATGAGACTATTCTGGCAATTTTTGCAGATTTGCATAATATACTGTCTTTTGGCCTCCATTCCAGGATTAAGAGTTTCAATGACAGCAATTCAGTTACTATAAAGTTGGTCAGGATATAAATCACCTTGGTAGGAACTGACAACATTCTTTGTAATAGATTTCCATGTCTTTTCTTTAGAAATGGGTTGAACAACAACCCTTTTCATGTTCTTTTCACATTTCTTAGCACCATCTGTGCCAGAAGACACCCTCCCAAAATATCTTTCACTGGACTGTTTGGAGTGTGGCTTGAACTTTTCCCAGAGGTGCTGAAAGCCATCTAAGGCATGTGAACTCCTAACTCCACACTTTGGTAACTCCTCATACTCTTCAAGAGTTACAATTGTATCCTTTAAATTTGATATATCTCTGTCCTTTTCTGCTAACTTCTTTTCTAATCTCAAAATATAGTCTGAAAATCTCCTGTTTTTGTCTTCCAACTCACATTGTTTATCATAAAGTTGTCTCTCTAAACCTTTAATTTGTTTCTTCCATTCTGTTTCTGGTAAAGTATATTCCCAGGAGGTCTCTTGTACAGCTGATTTCATTGATAATAAATCCTCATAAACAAGACCAGTACCACTGTCATTGTTCATGTTGGTCTCTGTGGATTTGTTTACGGTCATATTACTGTTGTTGTCTATTGTCATATTTACTGGTGATGAAAAATACCATTTCTTCTTTTCAAATAGACCAGAATGATATTGCAAATCATTTGCAGTTGAAGACAAGCAGCAATGAGTTTGGTGGCTGCAATTGTGATCAGAATGGTTTGAAACTTCAAAATCATGTATGTTGTTGCAGGCACCTATTTCTATTTTATCACTGTCAAAAGATTTGTGAATTCCAAAGCAATGTGGTCCATCTATTTCAGAGAGGGCTCCACAGGTATTCCAAACTGGCATGTCTATCAATTCACTGATGTCACAACATCCTGGGTTACAGGAAATCGTAGACATCTATAATAAAAATTATCATGTTCTAATATCCATGTAAATACTGCTGTAACCAAAGTCAGAAAGGCGTACAATTGTTTTAATTAATTTAAAATCCTGTGCTAAAGGTTGAAAGCTGGAATATTAACGCATTGACATTTCTTATAATAAATCAAAATGCAACCCAATTCATGTCTGCTACAAATGTGTAATAATCCAACTGTCTGATATAAATATATATATATATATATTATTGAAATCACAGCACTACAGAGAATGTACAATTCCATTTAAAAATAAATATATATTTTCTTCCTTTTATTGTGACAACATATATTCAGATAAAAATTTGTTATATCACTTAAAGTTGTCTAATCACTGTACTTTTGGCGATGGTGTATGATAGAGGGTCAGTTAAATCCACAAAGAGAATTCATTTAGTGTGATGTCCATTTTCACTGAACTAGTATACATTATTGTTTAGGGGCCAGCTGAAGCCTGCCTCTAGGTGCGGGATTTTCTCTCTGTTTTGAAGACCCATTGGTGGCTGTTTTCTGTTCTTTGGTCAGGTTGTTGTCTCTTTGACGCATTCCCCGTTTCCATTCTTAATTTTAATGTGTAATTGTTTATGGAATTCAAAACTTCATATTTATCATGCATTGTGAGATATCCATTTACCATCCGTATTTTGTTTATCTATATATCATAAACTTAATTCATTTATAATCCTCTCAAAACTGAATTCATTTATAATCCTCTCAAAACTGAATTCATTTATAATCCTCTCATATTCTTTAATAAATACAGCACACATACACATAATTAAAATTATCCGATGACAATGTATCTACAGAAATTAGTTCTTTATTTTACAATAAGTACATCATCTGCCACCTTAATGAATTGTGGTACAGGAAGTAGTAAAAAAAAACAAAATTCTTCACAGAAGAAATTAGGTAAACTCATATTCCAACTCCAGATCCCTGAATATCTATCAGGACCTTTTTATACTACATATGTGTGAGGACAACATGAATGTCCCTACTTGCTGTAAAATTCCAATGGCCATAATAACGCTGAACTTAAAGCTGAACTTAAAGCAATTTGGATGGATTTCAGAAAAACAATAACTGACATGGGTAACACTAAATGCCCTGGGCACTTAGTGTCAAGGGCATAAAAATATCAGTCAAATCTGGACAATACAACCAGTTTTGAAACAAACAAACACCCTGAAACCTGTACAAAAGAGCATTGATTAAAAATGTATGAGACATTATCTTAAATGAACAAATGTAAACCGTACATCATAATACTCAAGTGCACTTTTTTGTATCATATATTCCTCAGAAATACAAAAAAAAAAACAACATTCTTCATCAAAATCATAGAAGCATGAAAATGCACAAAAGTTGTTTATTAATGTTGTATAATAGGTTTACAGGGATGAAATACCATGGATGTATAATCACAAGTTACTGAGAGATGGACATAAATACAGAGCTCAACTTAATCTTAACAAACAGATGTACGTTTGTAAATATGGACAAGCAATATTCTTGGAACAAAAAAAGCGGCAAGATTTTTGCTTCTGTTTATTTTATAGTTTTTTCAGGTTTTATCTGAAACACTTTTATTGCTATAATCGATATTGCAATTTAATTTTAGACTCAACTGTTTTTTTCTAATAAGTTATAAAAACCCTACCTCCATATTTTCTCTCTGCTTCTGGCTGAGTGGTTTCATCTGTTTTAACAAGGCAATATATTCCTGCGAAAATTGAGCTACAGCACCAGAAACATCATCATCCTCGTCGCTAAGAAAACGGAACATCAATGGCACCTTACTCTCTAAGGCCTGCAAGGTAGCTTCAGTGTTTTCCTTGTCTTCTGTTTTCAGTAATCTAATTCAAAGCAATTTAATTATAAATGTCATTTATTTTCCACTTTCGTATATTAACACTGTCATGACTGTAGCATACAAGTCTCACCATGAACAATGTTTTTCAGAATAATTAATTCTAACACAACCATTAATTACACACCAAACTAACTTTATGCTTAATGTGTGACTATTAATTTATTTCAATAAACTGAAGAAAAAACATTAATTACTTCATACCAAAAGTGATCAACATGTATATTACGCTCTTTACCTAAATATAGTACTAACATGGTAATTTTGTTGAAAATTAATCACAGCCATTCATTTTCAAAGAAAAAGTTGTTTGAATCCATTGTGAGACTTTAAACAAGAAAATCCTCTCTGTATACTCATTTGAAATACACATTGCTGAGTCCAAAATCAAAGTATTTTCAACATAAAATCACTCAATAATTTATCAGTAACAAGCATTCTGAGAGTATTGCATGGCAATATATAGTCCCCTACCGGGTAAAAATTCATTATACTGGAACAAAATGCTAACTTGTTCTATAACTTGTCATGGTGTAAACAAAAAGAAAATATCAAGTCAATATCTTCAAGCATGACTAAAAACAGTGTGGAAAACTGAATATATGAGTGAATTTTTTCAAGTCCAAGGACCATAACTCTGCACAAAATTATCAGACCGAAACAAAAATTTGAACTTGATCTGTAACTTGTCATGATAAAACTATTTACCAATTGTCAATCAATATTTTCAAGCATGATGAAAAAAAGTGTGGAAAACCTATAACACTCTAACATTAGATATGATGTAATACAATGTATATCTATCTTCAAATTACAATCAAATATAATTAATAGTTTCAAATATTTTTTCTTTCATTTGTCACAAACTAATATAGATTTGTAACTTACCTATAAAATGTCAACAACTTTTATCTACACAATGTAATGTAATGAAATATATACCTTAATAAAAATAGATTATTATCTAATTAAAGGATTTCACTTAATAAAAAATATATATATATATACATGTAGCATTCAGAAAATTAGTTTATACAAAATAACATATAAACCTGCCACAAAATTCCTCAAACAATTTACCAAAGAAAGTCTTTTAAAAAATGAGTTATCTCCCTTTGTACAGATTAAATGGTTTAACATAGTACTCTTAACATTAGTTATGGAGTTTTTTTATGGACCATAACTCTGGACTAAATCATCGGACCGGAACAAAATTCGAACTTGATCTATAACTTGTCATGATAAAACTATATACCAAATATCAAATCAATATCTTCAAGAACGAAGGAAAAAAGTGTGGAAAGCTGAGTTGCCTGACTGACGGACGGACAGACAGACGAACAGAGTGCAAACCTAAAGTCCCCTTCGACTTCGTCGGTAGGGGACAAATAACCATGATTTGCAGTGATTTCCTCACTATGCATCTGAATTTAATAATCTCTTTCTGTCAGTAAAAATGTTCATCATCTTCACATTTATGCTTACATTGACTTCAACAAAATTGAACCTGAAGCATGTACTGAATAAATGGGTTTAAAACTTACTTCTGCCAAGCTAGTATTAAGTTCACACCAATGGCATTCACCAACTTGGATAACTTGGCAAGGAAATCACCTTCTTCATCCTAAAAATCAAAAGCAAAATATAAACTAATGTCTGCTATAAAGGCAAAAATTCATACGAAGCACTCTCTGTCTTAATCCTGCTTATACTATCAAAATGCTATCCTAACGTTTCACATCATGTGGCTCCTCAAGTTTTCAAGTATTTATACATCCTTGGCTTTCAAATTTTAAGGTTTGAGCATTCCTGATGCAGGTAAATCCAGAAAAGCATTACAGATGCTTTAATTTTTTTTTTATTTCAAACACATGCATCAAAATAATTTTTTACATCTTGCATTAATCTCTCTTTAAATAACAAGATCTTTCATCACTATATTTATGCAAGAAACCCAACTCTACCATTGTATACTGGACAAATTTTGTGTCATGCTAATTCAATGGTCTGCATTTCACACAATTTTCATTATGCAGTTTAATATTCTTTAGCACGACTGAATTTTTGCCAATCAGTTGCTACCACTAATAACACTGCTACAGATATTTCTATTTTAATACTGACTTCTGTTATTAAACTTACCTCTACTGGACTTAAGATTCCTCTCTCCTCCAGTACATTGGTAAAAGACTCCACAAGCTTTGTTTTGACGATTGGATCCATTCCTTTGTTCAGAATGTCTGTTATACAATCACATGCACTTTCCCTTATCAAGGTCAAGGTCATGAAATTTAACAGAACTGTCACAAATTTGTCATTGGCAATCAGATTAATGTCAATCCACGAAATAAACTTTCCAATGACATCTAAGCACATACAAACAACTTCTGGGTTGGATGTCTCATAAGTTGTCTGAAATACAAAAAAGCATGACAATAAAATTTCCATGCATTGTCCATCTAATTCTCAACCAAGTTATGACATTATAAATCAATTACAACTCAAAATTAATATAGCAATATTAAAATTCTTTTTAGAAACAAAATACTTACCAAAATTTCATACCATGTCCCTGCTAACTGTCCAACAGCTTGTTCTCGCATGGCATCCTTGATCAATGTATTTCTCTGAAACTCCTGGAAATAACAAGAAAAATATAAAGACATGATTAAATTTGATTCAAGCAATACAGTCCTATGCAATTAGAACAGTATGTTAAAATTCACATTTTTTCAGACAAAATATATAATGCACATATTTACAGTCTTGTTAAATTCAATGTTCTGCCTTCATAAAAGAATCCTTCTGCATAAAGTTAAATAGATCTTTTGATTCAATGCACTATTTGAAGGCAAAATTTTCAATTACACAGTACAGGGTGAGACAACTTCTATATGTTAGGGGAAATATTGTAAATCTTCACTATGAAATTACCTCAGGTGTGTGAACAATCTCTCTGTCTACAACATCACTGTCTATGGCCAGGAGAACTCTCAAGTAAATATCTATTGAGTGGTGGTTTGGTGATACTGTCTGTAACAAGTCTGTGAAGAAAGATGGCCATCTGTGTGGGTAATCATGCACAAAAGCAAGGGAGATAATCTGGGCAATTTTGTTCCTGATGAAACTTCTGTCTTGAGTGCCTTCAGATCCCTGAAACAAATTCCATCAACATTTACAATATATTATTACATCTAATATTTTAATCTTAGAAAAATCTCTGACACTCAGACAGTCTACCTTATTTCAATTCGACGTCAAAGTCCAGAGGTAAATATAAAATCCATACAGAGGATGGAAAAGAAATAATATAAAGTGACAACTTTGCATGACCAAAAATACCATATCTTTAATCATCATACCCATTATGTGACAACTTCACATCACCAAACATGACCCCTTTCAAAAAGAATTTATTGCTGAGAGATATAAAGAAACTTGTATACCTGTAACTGTAAACATCTTGCAATAAAAGACTTAATATTCTGGTGGTCATCTAGGATAGCCTGATTGTATCCTGTTTTCAGATAGTGCTCAATCACTTGCAAGCAGAAAAACTTCACATGATCATTCCTGAAAAGTAATTAATAGTATCAAATACAAATAAAAAATTAAAATACAATCACTTCTTTGATTAAGTGAAAGAAGCTGCATTTTGTTATCCCTTTATATACTACCATATTTCATATTTTGTTTTAAAAAGAAAGTTTTACATCTGTGTCTTGCTGGTTTACTATGTGTATTTTCACCATATATTAAATGTGTATGGTAAATAAATTCTGCATATTTTGTATTTAATTAAACTTTACTTAATCTTGCTTAATGCAAGTCCTACTAAAGCAGGATATTTTAACAATAACAATTATGCACTCATGTCTTTAATGGATATCTTTATATATTTGGCATAAAATAACAATATGTTAAAAATAGATACTCCTACAATGTCACACATTTGTTGTCTTTTGTTGCTGTATAACATTTTGTTTTTTCCTTTTTGTTTTGCACATAAATCAGACTTTTAGTTTTCTCATTTGAATTGTAAAACTTTTTGTTATGTAATGGCATTTATAGCTTGCTATGCAGTTGGTTTTGCTCATTGTTGAAGGCCGTATGGTGACCTATAGTTGTTAACATATTCACCATTTGGTCCCTGTTGGATAGTTGTCTCAATGGCAATCATACCACATCTCCTTATTTTATATGACATGTTATATTATAGTACTGGATAGACATAGGAATAAAATTTGTTGAAAATTTGTCTCACCCATGATATGATCCATTAACAAATGCTTCTGCACACAACTTCCATCCACTTTCCAAAGACTTTAATTGTTCAAAGTACTGCAATGCCTGTCATAATTAAATTTTACAACATATAAGGTTTTAAGTCTTGATTTTGAACCTGCATTTTCATTCTGAATTAATTTCTTTTTTCAGTTTATAAATCTTCAGGATAACTAGTACTGCTAAGGCATACACTAGTGGGGGAATTCCCATCCATGTAAGCACTTTTCTTTTCAATGTTGTGAAACTAAGTTGCTCTGGACTTGGAACAATCACCATTGCTACTGAATTGAATCTTTTGAGAGAGGATTCATTTACTTAGAATCAAAGTGTAATTGTTGACACTGTAGAGGGATCTTGAATTCTTTCAGGGAATATCAATCTGTACAAATCAAAGTCTTAAAGTGTTCCAACTAGGCCAATTTTTAGAGTGAACCTACAACACTGAATTGTTTTATTGGGTTTTTTTTTAAGTTTACACAATTTCTCTTTTAAGTTTATGCTATTTCCCTACTTTTTTTTTTTTTTTTTTTTTTTTAAGTTTACGCAATTTCTCTACAAATCATTACAAATTTTGATCTATAAAATTATCAAACTTAGCCTTATAATTATTTATGGAGCATATTAAATGCAATGTTGAAATATTCCCTTTCTGGGGCATACATTGTCGATACCTTAAACTTTTTTTAGAGATCTAAATGATTCGAAAGTAAAGTATTTATTACATTTGTTGATTTTTTAGAGGACCTTCTGAAAATGTTGGATATATACATCATGTACATGTTGTGTTTCCATTCATTAGAAATTCTGACAAAACCTCAAAAAAAGCATCTATGAAAATGATACAACTTTTTACAATCTTTATGCATCTTTGAAAATGATGAGTCCAGACAGATTTTCATGAGTCCAGGACTCTTCTAGTGAGAACCCTAAAAATATATGTACAATACTGCCAAAAAATATTTATTGCTATTAAGCAAAAAAAAACCATTTATATCAAGTTCAAAATTATACATTTCTGTTTTTGAATGGTTTAACATTAGAATTCTCTAGTTGTTTACAATGCTTACCCTCCTCTGTAGTTGTGGATCAGATATAGGGTTTAAACCCCTTAATGCTTCCTCATCCATTCCAGCAAATGGATAATAGTAACAGTCATACAAATGTCTTCTTGGTTCTATAAAATACAATGTGCATCCTGTAAAAAATAATACAAAAGCATTGAATGATTTAAAATTAACATAAAATAAAAAGAAGCAATATGTATGATCAGATATGACTTGTCAACATATTTTTAACACAAGTAACAAGACCTGGTTCACAAGTGAAGCACGAACTGCTTACCCTATAGCAGCATCAGGATTCACCCCGGTCATTTGATTTCGTTCTTGAATTTATCATCAGATCAGTCCACACAAAAATAAGAAATAATGACAATACGATTACATTTTACTTAATATTAGTTTATTCTATTGTGTAATATTACTGTGTTCTTTGAAAAACGTTTCTGCAAATAATATAAATATGTGCCTTTTGTATTTTAGAAGTGGTTTAAAAAAAAAATTTATCACTTGAAATTTCCCCCTCGTAAAAAGGATGGTCATTACCTTGAGGAGTAATCCCTCATTTGACAGGTTGTTTCCATTTTTGAGGTATGGGTCTGTGCGCACCCTATTTTTATTTAAATACAGGTTGAATTATAAAATGTTTTTAAGATGTATATATTCTCTGTTTTTTACACCATTGTCCTCATCTTGATCTTAAACTTGATATGGTGCAGTGACACGTCCGATGGACATTATTACACCTTGCTTCCGTCACTTAGCGATTAGTCCAAAATCCCCTCTCCCAAACAATATCTGCAATTGATCTGACTTGGTCTGTTGAAAATTCTATCTAGTAAAAAATTTCCGGTGGTATTGAGTTTCAGTCCTTAATGGCATTCACGATACAGCTAAATTTCAGTGAGTCTGTTCTGGTTTGTCAGGGATCTCCATGACCTGTTTTATGACGGCGCACCGCCATCGTTAAATGATCTTCCGCCATCTTCAAATGATACACGCCATTGTAAAATAACTGTGCTATGATTGAATGGTGAAGTCAAAATTTGTTTTCATTTCTCTAGCCAGCTGCCATTTTTTACAAGCAATTATAATCAACTGCATGTAATTGCATAACCCTTATTATATTATAATCCAAATGGTCCTCCTGATTACAGTTTTAAAGCCCGAGGGATATCCGGCTTAAGATTGGTAATCACTTGTACAGGTAGATCGACACACCTGACAGGAGAACACTTCATCAAGATAGACGATTAATTGCATTATTTAATTACATTCCTGCAGATGCTTATGAAAATTTAGATTAAAAAATAAATTTTAAATCCAGTTACGAAGAAAAAAGTTTAACAAGTTGAACACGTGCTTTTATATTGACTTAGGCAATTAGCATCCCCCTTTTTAAAAGAAATTTCATGCCAAATAACAGGTACAACAATGATTGATAATATTGAATTACTTTACAAGTTTAAAACTAATAAAAGTAAATACATGAATATTAACTGCAACTTGATAATCTGAAGAAATTTTGTATCGTGATTTTGAATTCATTTCGTAGTTTACAATCAAATTAATACATCCGGTTTGTATTCAGAGTCGAAAGATGCATGTTGCAGTCTATAACTATGAAATTTGTAATTTAAAGTCATTTAAACCATTGAAGTGGGAAACGTTTGTCCTCCAAATCTTTCTTCAACGTTTTACAAAACGGGTATGAAACTTCATGTTGTTGATGCTGCAAATCGTCGATCCGGGTTCATGACTTCTGCACTTGACAGTGAAAAAAAGATCCACCCGATTTTTAAGTCCTAAACACTTGGGAACCATAAAGACAGCTTGTGGTTATTCTTGATTAAGGGGGAGCCATGCAGGCTTTACATTAGAATTGTTGCAAACGACAATTAGGCTGAAAAAAAATATGTCTGTTTACGGTTACCTGACCGACCCTACTTTTGAGCGCCAACCCTAAGTCATTTTATTTCCGTCGTAAAGTGAAAAATAAACTGAACTTGTGTCAAAAGCAAAGTTAGTGTTGCCAATAAAATAAATCAATTGCCTGATACATTCCAATGTTCACAATCGTAAATATGACAGTTTTTAGGAAACTCGCCACTTGTGTAATAAACAATTTGCCGCCATTTTTTTCCAACCAATAACCAAGGGAAACAAGCATTCTGAGAGTATTGCATGGCAATACATAGTCCCCTACCGGTTAAAAATTTCTTTTTACTGGAACAAAATGCTAACTTGTTCTATAACTTGTCATGGTGTAAACAAAAAGTAAATATCATGTCAATATCTTCAAGCATGACTAAAAACAGTGTGGAAAACTGATTATATGAGTGAAAAAAACATTAGATAATAGTTAATAGTTCTCTAAAATTAGGTATGATGTAATACAGTGTATATATATTTTCAAATTATAATCAAATATAATTAATAGTTCCAAATACTTTTTTCTTTCATTTGTCACAAACTAATATAGATTTGTAACTTATCTATAAAATGTCAACAACATTTATCTATACAATGTAATGTATTGAAATATATATACATTAATAAAAATAGATTATTAACTTATTAAAGGATTTCTCTTCATAAATTTTTCTTTATATATATATATATAGCATTCAGAAAATTAGTTTATACTAAATAATAAACAAACCTGCCAAAAAATTCTTCAAATAACTTAACAATGAATGTCTTTTAAAAAACTAGTTATCTCCCTTTGTACAGAAATATGGTTGATATACTAGTATATATATTTGTTTAGGGGCCAGCTGAAGGACGCCTCCGGGTGCGGGAATTTCTCGCTGCATTGAAGACCTGTTGGTGACCATCTGCTGTTGTCTGTTCTATGGTCGGGTTGTTGTCTCTTTGGCACATTCCCCATTTCCATTCTCAATTTTATTTAACATAGTACTCTAACATTAGATATGGTCCAGAGTTATGATCCATAACTCTGGACTAAATTATCAGACCGGAACAAAATTTGAACTTGATCTGTAACTTGTCATGATAAAACAATATACCAAATATCAAATCAATATCTTCAAGCATGAAGAAAAAAGTGTGGAAAGCTGATTTGCCGGACTGACAGAAGGACAGACAGACTGACAGACAGACGGAGTGCAAACCTAAAGTCCCCTTCGACTTCTTCAGTAGGGGACTAATAATCCAACCATTAATAAAATGCTCTGGGCGCAGCTTGATACGACTGCAGAGGTCGAACCCTGAACAGTTGGGGCAAGTATGGACACAACATTCAAGCTTGATACAGCTCTGAATTTGGATTGTGATAAAATATTTGACACAGCATAGGTTTCTGACACAGAATGAATGTGGTCTAAGAACTTAAAGTTTTTTAATTTACCTATTATGGTCCAATATCCAAAATCTAAATACATGGTAAGATTCAGCATATCAAGAATCCAAAGAATTCAATTTTTGATGAAATCAAACAAAGTTTAATTTTGGACCCTTTTTACCTCAATGTGGACCAATTTGATAACAGGGCCCAAAAATCTAAATACATGGTTAGATTCAGCATAGTAAAGAACCCCATATATTCAATTTTTGTTGAAATCAAACAAAGTTTAATTTAGGACCCCAACTTGGACCAACTTGTAAACTGGGCCCAAAATCAAAAATCTAAATACATGTTTAGATTCAGCATATCAAAGAACCCATATATTCAATTTTTGTTAAAATCAAACTAAGTTTAATTTTGGACCCTTTGGACCTTAATGTAGACCAATTTAAAAAACGGGACCCAAAATTGAAAATCTAAATACACGGTTAGATTTGGCATATCAAAGAACCCCAATAATTCAATTTTTGATGAAATAAAACATTTTGACCTCAATATGAACCAATTTGATAGTGGGGCCCTAAATCAAAAATCTAAATACATGGTTAAATTCAGCATATCAAAGAAACCCATATATTCAATTTTTGTTGAAATCAAACAAAGTTTAATTTTGGACCCCAATTTGGACTAACTTGAAAACTGGGCCCAAAATCAAAAATCTAAATACATGTTTAGATTCAGCATATCAAAGAACCCCATATATTCAATTTTTGTTAAAATTAATCTAAGTTTAATTTTGGACCCTTTAGACCTTAATGTAGACCAATTTGAAAACTGGACCCAAAATTAAAAATCTAAATACACGGTTAGATTTGGCATATCAAAGAACCCCAATAATTCAATTTTTTATGAAATAAAACAAAGTTTAATTTTGGACCCTTTTGACCTCAATATGAACCAATTTGATAGCAGGGCCCACAAATAAAAAATCTAAATACATGGTTAGATTCAGCATATCAAAGAACCCCATATATTCAATTTTTGTTGAAATCAAACAAAGTTTAATTTTGGACCCCAATTTGGACCAACTTGAAAACTGGGCCCGAAATCAAAAATCTAAATACATGTTTAGATTCAGCATATCAAAGAACCCACATATTCAATTTTTGTTAAAATCAAACTAAGTTTAATTTTGGACCCTTTGGACCTTAATGTAGACCAATTTGAAAACTGGACCCAAAATTAAAAATCTAAATACATGGTCAGATTTGGCATAACAAATTAATAAATGTGGTCAAAGATTTTACAAATCTAATGCGCCATACTGTGCAATTAAAGATTACTTCTTGAAATTTTTCAATATTTGAAATTTGAAAAAAAAATAATATTTGAAGAATAATTCTTTTTTATTTCTGAAATTTGAAATGAGAAAAAATTGACACCCCACAATTTCTTTTTACCCCCCTTTTCCCCAAAAAAATTCTTTCCCTCAAGATATGGTCATAATCTCAATTCAAATTTCAAATGGAATTTGCAACCATAATTACCCATTTAAATTTACCATAGTGCTAACTTAATCTATTTTATAATAGAATTTAAAATATGGTGTCAAATCTTTCATATGGATTTTTTGTAAAAAAAAAAAGATGCAACATTTGCAGATATTTTTACTGGTCTTCCTTTATTAGTATGCATTTCTTTAAACATAATTTAAAATCAGTGTAAGGGAAGTAATCAAAACGTATGCGGATTACCTCCCTTACACTGTTTTAAATTGTCTTAATTGTTCATTAACCATTTCTTTATACATAATTTAAAAGCAGTGTAAGGGAGGTAATTCAAATGATGTATTTGATTTATCTCCCTTACACTGCTTTAAATTATGTTTTGTATTATAGTATTTGTCCATATAAAAATGCTAGTTTTTTGTCCCTTTTTTGGCCCTTAATTCCTAAAATTTTGAGGCAAATACCCCAAAAATCAATCCCAGCATTCCCTTTGTGATATGGAACCTTGTGGTACAATGTCAGAGAGATCCATACACTAACACACAAGTTATGTCTGGAAGTTACAAAAATGCTTATTTTTGGCCTCTTTTTGGCCCCTAATTCCTTAACTGTTGGTACCATAACCCCCAAAATCAATCCCAACCTTCCTTTTGTGGTATTGAACCTTATGGTAAAATTTCATAGAGATCCATTCACTTAAACTAAAGTTAGAGTGCGAAAACCAATGTGTCTTCAGACAACAATGACAACGCCGCCGACGATGCCAACGTCATACCAATATACGATTGCAAAATTTTTTTGCGGTCGTATAAAACTACAGGTAAACGAGGACCACATGACTCAAAATCATGTCGCAAAAAATAAAATGGAAATACCGACCTACCCACCTTATTTTTTTGAAGTATGTAACCATACAGACATATAATTTTTTTTGGCCTTAATGAAAATATTGGTTATTCTATAATGAAATAAATATAATAAGCAATATATCAGTCTGTTCACCATTCCATACAATGAAATAAAGGAATGAAGTACTTTTGATCAAGACACGCTGCATTTTCCTCCATGGAGATCCTTGGTTTGTGGTCTGAGGAATTGATGTTTATGCATGGATTTGGTTATTCTTCTAAGTATTTTCAATTGCTTTGTTGGTAGATGGGCTTTAGTGTTTCATATATAGTCAGTCTATGTCTTCCTGTAATTTATTACAATCATTGATGTTGTTGAATTGTTGATTTCTCTATAGCAAATGCAGACATCGGCAAATAGTCTGGTATCAGATGTAATATTTTCAGAGATGCCATTGATGTGTACAAAAAACAATATTGGACCCATACTGCCACGTCGTCCATAGGATGTATTGTTCATACATTGAAAAGATGTATCGGTCGTAGGAAAACATCGTCCATACTTTGGGAAGACGCGTCCACCGTTGATATTTTTCAGAAATAAATTTCATTTATAAAGTATTGTGATAGATACATGTAGATGGTAATTATAACTCGTTAATACATGTATATTATGCTGTATTTATTTGCAATGTTTCTATATGTTATACAATATACACTTGGAATATGCATTATATATATCATGTTTAAATGTGCTTTATCTAATAAATTATTTATATTATTTTCTAAATGAATTTTTAATATCTTGCGTAAAACAAACTGAAAAAAATAAAACAAATGAAAATGAATATCCAAAATGGGAGATTAATTTCTGTCATAGTTAAAACAATAAGCAGAAAGTTTAGTTTTGAAATATAAAACTAAGGGATCAGATAATGATTAATTTTAAAATTTAAGAATATTGTTAATTGCTTATTATCATTTTTTGATGAACATAACTGTATTAATTATGCTTTTGACAAGAAATTGTAAAGGAAATACAAAACGAGATTACTATAAAAACAACAGCACCAAAACTGAGTTACAGTGGAGACAAACATACATTGGGTAGAGAAATTCTTGTTTTTACGAGAATGAAATAGTGTACGCAGTACTGCACAGATGGAATATGCTGTTTAGTTTCTACTCTCTGTTAAAAAGCTGTAAATCAATTTTTAAAGTCATAGTAGGGATGAATTATCAATAGCATATGGACGCTGTGGCAGTATGGAAGACACATCCTATGCCTATGGATGATGTGATAGTACATGTATGGCCGTCGTGTCTTGAAAGCGACAGTGCCTTGCGGGACACCTGATGTTGTCTTTGAATTGCAACCATTTACTACATTGCATTGCATGCTCTGTACTAAGAATGGGTCTATCCGATATAATGTGTTTGTTCGTACTACATATCTACTGAGCTTACATTTTAGAAGTTCGTGAGGTACCGTATCAAATGCCTTTTAGTTTTAGTATTTCTAATCAGTTACTGTCGTTTCACATTTCAGTGTCATTTGCCTTCGTACATCAATAAATATTAATTTTCTGCTATGATGTTCTGGAAGTTAAATTTAGCTTACCTTTAATTTATGAATTAAATTTTCATAAATTTGGTTTCCATTCATAAAAATTATGAAGAGTTTGATTTGTTTACATGTACGCAATTTGTTACAAAGGTGCAAAACCACATATTTCTTTTCTATAGCTTTACTGCACTTACTTTTTTCCACTGAAAGATACATGTAGTTAAGTGCAGTGTAGTCGTTTTTTATATAATGATGTAATGTTGTCAGATTACCTGATATAAGTAGCAAGGTATTGCATTTTTATGAGCCACGTTTCGTCACCCCGAAGTCGCCATATTTATTTCCATGATCACGTTTTAACGTTGTCAAATATATTTCTTTATTAATATATAATTTTATATTCGAGTCATAAAATTCTGACTATTATTAAAATATTTTTCATTTCTCAATATTTAAAAAAAATATATTGACTATTTTTAGTTTATCGTTATCATGAAAATTTACGAGACTTGTCTTTTCTTTCCTCGTGTTCGCCATGAAAGTCCTAGGCGAGGTATACAGTGATTCTAATCACCAATAAAACATTATTTTAACAATTCCAATGATAAAATGTACTAACAGCTTAAACTCAAGTTCGTTTGAAGTCAATATGCTCGATTTTTAGTAATATTTTGTCCGTACAATCTGTTAAAAGTTGCATTTTAAAAAAAGGGGGAGGTACATATGTACCCAGGTAAAAGTATTATACTCGCTTTGAGAGAACTCTTACGTTTTCAAGCATATCATATTGCAAATGGAATGTGTTTTATTATATTAAATATATTCTTTTAAATAACAGTAGATTATTTAGAACGTCAAAAAATAAGACAAGTTTACTAAAAGTCTAAATATTTGAAACTGTTCCTCACATCCACGAAAAGTTTTATCTACTAAAATGTATGTACTAACAAAAGACAGGAATACAAATTTCATGTGCACAAATGACTAAAAAAGGGAGAAGATACCAAGGGGACAAATAACAAACTATGAAGAATTTCTTACAAGACAAAAAAGACCACTGTAAAATACAAATTGAGCAACACATATCTAAGCAAAAACCAGGACTGAACTTTGGTACTCAGAAAGGGAAAGTTCCTGTTCAACCTGTGGCACCTATACAAATGTAGATAAATTATTGTTACATCCAATTTATGTTCTAAAAAGTTAAAACACTATGGATTTTGATGAACATTTTCTTTCCTTGCCACAGAAGATGGTGAAATAAACAAACACCTGAGTTTTCTTTGATACAGTCCATTCATTTCATTCATTTACACTATTTAAATCACCTTTGTTGTGAGTAGATTTCTATTGTCCCTCAATACACCTTATCGCTATTTGTCCGCCATTACTGGACATCACAAAAGTTCCCGTAAAATTTTGATGTCATAATAGAAAATATCTGACACCACAATGGAAAAGTGATTGTTGTATGACGTCAAAAGTTCAAGCTGGACAGATTCTCGGGTCAAGCAGGAATTAGCGATAAGGTGCATGTATTGTCCATATCAATCAATGATACAATACAATCATTACCTGAGGGGGACCATCTCAAAGATTTCACATGACTTTGTTAATTTTTACACCACCTGTGGCAAGGAAACAAAATGTTTAGCAAAATCCACAAAAGTTTTTTTCTTTTTAAAACACTAAATGTATACAACTTGTATATATCTAGGTGCTGTCAGGATTTAAAATTATTAGAATTACACAGCTTTGTCTGCATTCAGAGAAAATTTCATGGTGTAAACACAGCCATTTTTGTTAAAGTGTATAGGTGAACCTTAAGAAGGCATCTCATGATCAAATCTTTGAACTTTTCAAGCAACAGCTTTCATTTTGATTAGTAAGCATTCAGTATGCTGCTGGCTGTACATTTGTTTATAAGAGCAAGTTTTGTTAAATATATTATTAGAATTTCATATCAATTGCTTACAAAAATTCAAGAATAGAGTTTACATTAAAAAACGATTGAAAAATTAAATAATTTCTTATTAAAACAACTATTTTCATCATAAGCATCTGAGTAAGGTCAACTCCAACATGCAAACATACTAAAATAAGATTTACCAATTATTCATATTCAACATGTCCAGATGTGCATTAATTTTGCAATATTTTATATATCCTATATCTTTTTTCTTTTAAACAGTTAAAGGAGTACAAGGTCATTGGCAGATCTCTGCCATCTGACAAAAATAGAGCTCCGCCACTCTATCAGATGAAAATATTTGCACAAGACAAATGTACAGCAAAATCAAGATTTTGGTACTTTGTTTCTCAGTTGAGAAAAATGAAGAAGATGAGTGGTGAAATCTTGTCTGTTCAACAGGTGAGAAGAAAATGTATTAATACTTTGTACCATTATAAAAATAGTTCCAATCCTATGATTGTATTTTAGTCTTGCCTGTGCAAGGCTACTATCTAATGGAGCACCTCAACAGTCCTCTGTATATAACATGCAATTTCCCTTAGCTTACAAACTGAAATGTTTGATAAAGTTAGAAGAAATTTGCTACATGAATACAACCAGTCGCCTTCCCTGTAGTATATCTCAGTGTGAAGTGAATTATGGATGTAACACATTATCAATGGAGAACTGATGAGGGAAACCATATATATCTTGAAACCTACAACTGAAATTTTCAGATCTTGAAGTAAGAATGGTCTCGAACACTTTCTTTTGGGGTAGCAGTTGATAATTTGTACATATTTATATTGTCTTTATTTGTTTATTGAATATCAAACTTGAGAAAATAGTTTTATCAGCAAAATGTGCCATCAAGTTTCTGATGTAGGGTAACCTTAATATTCCTGTTTTAATCAACACCAAACAAGGCACATGTAGGGTATCTGGACCATCACGAAATAGTAGTCAAATACTTATAATTTTTGGAAAGAAAAGGTCAAAGCATGACTTAATTGATGGAATGTTACGAAAAAAAATAAAAACCTTTTGTAAACCTCAAAAGAAATTAACGAAATGAATAATGTTTGGAGAAGTCATGTGTTATTTTCTTTGCATAGAACATCCAGGTCTGTAAATGATCGTGATGTGTCACAGTGAGGATATCTTAAAATAGGACATTGCAACAAAAACCTCATTAGGACGACACATGTACAGTTTAAACTAAATATTGGCTTAATTTGAAATTTAATACTAAATTTTAACACCGTTTTTGAATTTTAAGATTTCCAAAACTTACGACAGTTGTTAGCTAGACATAAATATGTTTTTCTCAACAACCTGAGAAAATACTAAATCTTTACTAATTGATGATCTTCATATTATATTCATAGTATATTTTGCAATGTAGTCTGTCTCGATCATAACTGTTTGATAATCAACTTATCTCAGAAAAAAAATTACATTTATGATAACGAAAGTGATAGTAAATATTATAGTCTGTTTTGTAGGTTTATGAAAAGAAGCCAGTTAAAGTAAAGAACATTGGTATCTGGTTGAGATATGTGTCCAGAAGTGGTATCCATAACATGTACAGAGAATACAGAGATCTGACTTCAGCTGGTGCAGTAACACAATGTTGTAAGTTTTAAGTACCAAATCCAAACTAAGATATAGTAAACACAGTGGAGAAAGTTGAAATCTGTTCTTGCACCAGTTTATAAATGCCAAGAGGTAGTCATATACAGTACACACAAGGGTTTAAGTTAAAATCACCTTGGCTATGAGTTCATAAATGAGAAGAGGAAGTAATATACGGTATACACTAACGAATTTAGTTGAAATTGGTCTTATACAATTTTATAAAAGCCAAAAGAAAGCAAAATAAATTGCATATGAAGGGTTACAGTAAGTTGAAATTGCTCTTGTTGATGTTGAATGAATGTATGTGAAGCAGGATAATTACAAAGTCGTATCATAAAATTAAAGGCAATGCGATATTGATATCTGTCCAAAGCAGGTTCTTTATGTCAAATATTTTGTGTGAAATAAATGTAAGACATCCATAAATACTGAATGCTGTACACCTTATTTAGGGTTCTCTTATAGTAAAAAAGAAAGAAAAAGCAATAAAATATTTTGCTTGGATATTGTGATGGTTATGAAATACTATTGATTTGATTACAGATCGTGACATGGGAGCCAGACATAGAGCTAGAGCCTCAACAATACAGATCATTAAAGTTGAAGAAGTAGCTGCTTCCAAATGTAGAAGAAATAATGTCAAGCAATTTCATGTATGTGAACTATGAATGTCAATTCTGCCTTCTCTCTCCCTCTTTCTCTTGCCATAAATTCACTATTACTTAACACAAAAAATGTCACAGAAACAGTTTTAAATATGTACAGTAGAAATTTATTTCCTTGTGAAGTATCTTTATCAGATCAATCATAAATACACTACACTTGCACATTCCCTTGACTTACTGACACATTGTTAGATAAAGCCAGAAGTAATGTGCTACATAAATAAAACCAGTCGCCTTCCCTGAGTATCTTATATCAGTGTGAAGTGAATTATGGATGTTACAGATATAAAAAAAATTTATGAAATTTGTTTTTTCATCCAAATTATTACCAGTAGGATAACTCACTGTTTGGTGTTAAATATATAAGTAATATGATTGTTCATGCGTTTAAAATAGTTTTTGGAATCTCTTTCGTTTATGGTCATAAACTTTATTCAGTTCTACAGATTCTTGGTTTTAAGTAGTGGTTATAAGCAGTCTCTATCTTATGAACCTCTTTTTAAGATATTGATACTAAGAATAATTGTTCCACCAAGGTCATGTCATGTACAAGCTTTGATTGTCAAGCTGTATATTCAGTTGATTTAATACTTCCTCAATTCATATCAGGACATACCATTTTAGTCTTGATCCTGTATTGTATGAACATTAAGTAATAGATGGAATGTTTTGAGCATGTAACTGCAGGGCTCTTGAGTTTTAAATCTGAAACAGTGTGCTGTGTACAGTGTATTAGGCATAATGTAAAAATTACATCTGTACATTAAAGCATTTGGACTTTGAACGGATACAAGTTATATATCAAAATATTGCTCTATTCTGATCATATTTGAAAAAATAATATGCCCCTTTTCATATCCTCCCAGAATATTTAATTTGCCCCAACCAAAAAATTTTGCTCTTGTAAAGAAGCGCTTTATTGTTCCATCTGCAATTAAAGTGGTTTTGAACCTAATCAAAGAAAAGTAATATTTTCACTCTACTTGCACATTCCCTTGACTTACTAACACATTGTTAGATAAAGCCAGAAGTAATGTGCTAGATAAATACAACCAGTCGCCTTCCCTGAGTATCTTATATCAGTGTGAAGTGAATTATGGATGTTACAGATCTCTAATTTGATGTATGAAGTACAATGTACAGTAATATGTAAAAGCCCCTGGCTTTACATTGGAAACCCCTTCAGAAATTCCTTTGTTCACCAGAATTATTTTTAGTTGTACAACTTACTGTTTGGTATTAGATAATGCTTGACATGATTGTTTCCAATGAAAAGAAAGAATACTCAAAAATAGTTTTCAAATGTTTTACTTTGATGGTCATAAACAGTATAAGTTTTGATTGTCTAACTTTTAGTATAATTCGTTTTTAAAGTACTTTCTAATCCTCATGGGTAAGTTGTTTCCAGGACATAGCATTTTAGTCTTGGCTCTTTTTGTTTGTCCATGAAATGACACTAGATGGCATGCTTTATGCAAGATTAAAGTAGGGTTCAAAATAGTTCTGGAATCTCTTCCATTACTGTCATAAACCTAATGCACATTTGAATAAGTGATTAACAGTCTCTATCTTTTGAATTTCTTTTTAACATATTGATAGTTTTATACTTTAATAATAGTATTATTGTTCCATACATTTTCTAGCTGGACGTTTAGTTCATTTACTTCTTTCTAAATCCAAATAGCCAAGTTGTTTCCAATACTTGGCTTTTTTTGTCTCGTGATGCTTTGTGTATGTACACTAAACAATGCTAAATTGCACATTTTGGATATGGTTAATGTCAGACAATGAGTTCTAGATCTGAAATGGTTCTTACAGTGTACTAGATGTCATTCCCATTAAGCCAAGTCAATTATCAAAATATTGTTCTGGTCATGTACAAAAATTTGTCATTTTCCCCATCTACACTGAAAAAATGGTCTACCCTATAGATTTTGTTCTGTAAAGAACCTTAAATGATTAATAAGATTTGGTTCCAGTTTTAAGTAGTTGATGTTAAAAGTGGCATTTGGATCTAATCAGAGCTAAGAGAATTTCACTATCCTTGCACATTCCCTTGACTTACTGACACATTGTTAGATAAAGCCAGAAGTAATGTGCTACATAAACACAACCAGTTGCCTTCCCTGTGTATCTTGTATCGGTGTGAAGTGAATTATGGATGTTACAGTTCAGTAGTTTAATGCACAAAGTACTTTGTTAAATACAATGTAAAGTTTCCTGACTTAACAGTGGAAATACTACAGAAATTTGTTCACTCATCAGAAATTATTTTCTGTCCTATGACTTGCTGCTTCTGTTAATTATAAATGCTACTTGATATGATAGTTACCTATGACATGAGTATGTGTTATAAATATTTTTTTTATTTGCTACCTTTATGGTCATAAACTTAATTTAATACTGCACTGCAAATCCTTAGTTTTGACAAGATATAAATTCAAATTATTCACCAAAATATCCTTCCAAGCCCCACAATAATGTATGTATCTTTAGGGGTCCTTTTCCCATTTATACAGAAAAACATTATTAGACTTGCCCTGTACATTTTGTTTTTTATAAAGATTTTTCAAATTGTTCAAATTATCCAGTTTGCAATCGACAGAGGTTGATTTTGGAATTGGTGTGAACCTTATCAGATAAAAAAGAGAAATACTTTCACTATCCTTGCACATTCCCTTGACTTACTGACACATTGTTAGATAAAGCCAGAAGTAATGTGCTACATAAATACGACCAGTCGCCTTCCCTGAGTATCTTATATCAGTGTGAAGTGAATTATGGATGTTACAGGCTCTAGATACAGATAAATATATGGGTACTATACTGAAGTTTTAATAATAAGGTCTCTGTACTCCATACATAAACAACATAACTGCAACTATACCCAAGGTCCTTCGATAGATTTTGAAATTTTCTGGTTTGACGTTATAGAGTTATGGGACTTTAATTGTCAGATTTAAGGAAAATTTTACATGTTCCATAACTTGAAATTGCTTGGATTGATTTACTGGAAAGTACATGATTGTTGGAATTTGTGAATATTTTAAACAAAATTCTGACATGCCTATTAAGAGTTATGGGACTTGGACTGTCAGATAAATAAAAGGCATTTTTTAAATGTCATGGATCAATGGATCAAATTTCTACAAACTCAAGGTTGTTGTTGGGATTGGTGAATTTTGACTGGCTTTTGATTTTGAAAATTTTCTGGTTTGCCATTCCAGAGTTTTGGGATTTTTAACAGTCATATTTGACACAATCCTCATACATGTTTTTCCACAGAGCCATTTTATTTGCTTCTGTTTAAATGCCGTCTTAATATCCCATTTTATTTTTGCAACAATTTAATATGCACAATAAGGTTGTATCATGGATGGACTATTGGGGCAGCTGTTAAATATTCATTTGAGACAAAATGAAGGACAAAAAGTATCACAACGCCAATCTCCTGTGTACTTTATAGTTTTGATTGAACAGTCAGTCTAAGATGACAATTCTGCTGTCTGTGTAACTTGTATCTGTTAACTTTATAGCTTGTTGATTCATGCATATTAATAGTCTTGACTTTTTTTTTCAGAACTCAAAGATTAGATTCCCACTGACACACAGAATTCACAGAAGACTGAATCGTCCAAGATTCACAACAAGCAGACCTCATACAACTTTCTGAGGTGGACATTGTACTATTGTACACAAATAAAAAAAAAGCTAAAAAAAAATAATTTCTTGTTGATGTGTAGAGTATTTTACATTGTAGGATTGGTTTGAAGAGAGATTTCATTATCAAATACATGATATCCAAGGAAGGCACATAATTGATAAAACTGCTGAAATAAAACGTAAAGCACCATTTTGATGCCCTAATGGTGAGAAATGGAGGGGCATATTAATTTGCCCCTGTCTGTTTAATTTCTTGTACAGTTCATTTTTATGTTGTTGAACAGTTGTACATAAACTTAAGATGTGTGTATAGACCGGATTTTGATTTTCTTGAATTTTACTCAAAATTTAAAGTTTTAAATATTGTCACAAGTATTTTGAAATTTCCCACATTGTGTTCAGTTGAGTTTATTCACTTAAATCCATCAATCATTGATTAATCTACCTGAAGAAAAAAATATGTACCAAATATATAAAAATATATGAATCAACTCTTAAAAATGGATGTGATGATGTATTTATTCAATATCAAATTATATATTTTCAATCTGTTCAATATACACACTGATTTATTTCATTAAAAGTCCATTTTAGACAACATTCTTATCATTGTTCCTATCAAAATTTGTGAGTTTTTTTTTTCGGGTGTTTGATCACTCATATGATAAATTTAGGCAGACTTTAATTTGAGCATTGTCATTGTCAGAGTTTTTATCTGTCAAACACACACACAAAAAACCACAAAGTTTAATAGGAACAATGCTAAAGATTTTGTCAGAATTTAAATCGGTGTTTATGTTGAACAGATTAAAAATATATTATTGATATTGAATAAATACAACATCACATGCAGTTTTGCAAGTTGATACATGCATTTTCATCTATATAGGAAATACTTTTTTTCTTCAGGTAAATTAATCAAATAGTGATGGATTTCTCTTTGGAGAAACCTGAAGGTCCCAGTGTATAAACTCAACTGAGAACAATACCTATTGAATTCTTTCAATGGAACAGTACATTGTCCAAAAATATAAATCATCACAGGTAATGCAAGTCAAATTGGAGAAATGCTTTATTTCCTTTGCAATAAAAGAAGTGAAAGATACCAAAGGAATATTCGAACTCTGTCTCACAAGTTGAAAACAAACTTACAATGCCATGGCAAAAAAACAAAAAGACTTCAATAGTACACAAAACACAACATAGAAAAGCAAAGAATGAGCAACACAAACCCCACCAAAAATCAGTTGGATCTCAGGGGATCTGGAAGGGTAAGCTGGTCCTGTTCCACATGCGTTAGCTGGCATTTACATTCATGCTACGTCTATTATCAGACCCAAATATTGCTAACCTCCACGACAAATATGTTGTCCCTGCAGAAAAAGCAGCCAACAATGCTGTTTTATAGCTCACATTGCTCTTAATGTGAGCTGTTGCCATCACTTTGCATCCGTCCTCCGTATTTTAACCAAAGATTACTTGGATCTTCCTTCACTGTACTGGATACTAAATAACATAAGTGTCTTTACAACAACATAATATTTCTGGGTCTGCCAATTGCTCAATGGAACCACTTTCAAAGCAATGAAAACTGGGCTTCAGAGTGCAATACCTTGACATCTTTTGACTCGGCTATCCTTTTCTGATATCTATGAGAAGTTTATTCACAACCACTGGGTTGATGCCACTGCTGGTGGAGGTTTTCTCCCTGATTATATCACAATCCCAGTTATCAGCACTTCTGTGTTGACATGAATTATAATTAATTGACTAATTACAGAATTTAGAATTTTTCGAAATGTATCCAAGGAATAGATTACGGTACCATAGTTGTATTTGCGGCCTTTCGAAATTTGGGGTTCTCAAGTCAATGTTTTTATACGACCGCAAAAAAATTTGCGGTCATATATTGGTATGACGTCGGCGGTGTCGTCCGAAGACACATTGGTTTTCGCACAATAACTTTAAGTGAATGGATCTCTATGAAATTTTACCATAAGGTTCAATACCACAAAAGGAAGGTTGGAGATTGATTTTGGGGGTTATTGTACTAACAGTTAAGGAATTAGGGGCCAAAAATAGCATTTTTGTAACTTCCAGACAATAACTTGTGTGTTAGTGTATGGATCTCTCTGACATTGTACCACAAGGTTCCATATCACAAAGGGAATGCTGGGATTGATTTTGGGGGTAATTGCCTCAAAATATTAGGAATTAGGGGCAAAAAACAAGCCTTTTTCTAGTTTCAGGACAATAACTTGTGTGTAAGTGTATGGATCTTTAAGAAATTGTACTACAAGGTTCCATATCACAAAGGAAAAGCTGGGTTTGAGTTTGGGGGTAATTGCCCTAAACGTTTAGGAATTTGGGGCCAAAAAACAAGCATTTTTACAGTTTCCAGACAATAACTTGTGTTCAAGTGTATGGATCTCTCTGAAATTGTACTGCAAGGTACCATACCACAAAGGGAAGGCTGGGATTGAGTTTGGGGGTGATGAATCATAAGGGGGTTCAAAAAATTGGGGGGGGATTTTTTTTTCCTTTTTTTTTTCTATAAAATTTTCCATTTTAAGTTGGTTATTTTTTATTTATATATAAAAGCAAATAATAATGATATGGTTTGATTTCATCAAAAATTGAAATATTGGGGTTCTTTGATGTGCTGAATTTAACCGTGTATTTAGATTCTTAATTTTTGGTCCAGTTTTCAAATTGGTCTACATTAAGGTCCAAAGGGTCCAAAATTAAACTTAGTTTGATTTTAACCAAAAATTAATTCTTGGGGTTCTTTGATATGCTGAATCTAACCGTGTATGTATTTAGATTTTGGATATTGGACCATAATAGGTAAATTAAAAATTTTTATGTTCTTAGACCACATTCATTCTGTGTCAGAAACCTATGCTGTGTCAAATATTTATTCACAATCCAAATTCAGAGCTGCATCAAGCTTGAATGTTGTGTCCATACTTGCCCCATCTGTTTAGGGTTTGACCTCTGCGGTCGTATCAAGCTGCGCCCAGCGGAGCATTTTATTCATCTTTGTACTCTATTTGGGCATTAATCTTTACAAATTCGAGCATCACTGATGAGTCTTGTAGACACAACGCCATCCGTCGTATTAAGTTTCAATCCTGGAATCTGAGGAGTTGGTTAACACTAGTATTCCTTGACATAAGCTAAAAAATGCCTTGGTGGTCTTGTAGCATGCTTGCTTTAGGGAGGCAATGGGTTCGACCCCCACCAGGTCAAGCCAAAGACTTAAATTAACATTAAGTTACTTGCACTATTGAAGCACTCTACAAAAAGGAATATGAAGAAAGATTGGTCGGCTCAAAGTCCGACTAATGAGTTTGGATATTTTTACATGTCTTCCTGCAGACTTTGTTACCTTATGAACTAGCAAGGTTAAAATCTGTTCAGTACAAAGCGGGTTAAAATTCACTAATTGTTCTAATATGTATTTAATTGCCATTTGACATTAAACCGCCCCCTGTTATCATCTTAACTTAAAGATTGGTAGAATTGCCAATGTAGATAGAAGTGTCTTGTTTTAGGAAGGGATAAATCATACATATTAAGATAACACTGATTCAGACAAAAGGTTCTCTGAAACCGACATCAAAGTTCTTGAGATTTTGATTGACAACATATTTCCTATGTTTGAAATATTTTCAACAGTCAATCGGCATTCATATGGTTCCCAATATTTTTTTTGCCAGCTTATTCACTTCATACAGGACCTCAAAAAGAACGAAAAGAAGCTAGCATTATCCTTTAACTTAATATTCTGCTGTAATCCTGGCAGATGACGTCCTTTTACTAAATAGTTCAAAGTTTGGTGACCTTTAAAGGCATCTATCCCATCAAACATGAAATGAAGGGTACAACCGATACAGCTAGCCTAAGTCGACTTCATATCGTAACTTTTATTTCAAAATTGATCATGAGGGTCGATTCAGTACTTAACATTACCACAAAAGAGATGAGTTCAGCTTTCCAATTGTGAACTTTTCGATTCTATTCAGCAACATTCCAGCAACACCTACATATGGATAATTTTCCGCCCAGTTGATACGATATTCAAGAGCTTGTACATTCTATCAAGAATTCCTTGATAGCATGAGGGTTGTTGCTCACAGGGAAGGTTTCTATTGGTTGAGTTGAATTCATCTCTATGGAAATTTTACGAACGCTAGCATTGGTTGATGGTTATAGAATATCTCCGTCACAAACGACCGGATATATGTTCCAAATGTCGTAGCAACAATCCTGTCCTTTTTAGCTCACCTGGCCCGAAGGGCCAAGTGAGCTTTTCTCATCACTTGGCGTCCGTCGTCCGTCGTCGTCGTCGTCCTTCGTCCGTCGTCGTTAGCTTTTTACAAAAATCTTCTCCTCTGAAACCACTGGGCCAAATTTAACCAAACTTGGCCACAATCATCATTAGAGTATCTAGTTTAAAAAATGTGTCCGATGATCCCGCCAACCAACCAAGATGGCCGCCATGGCTAAAAATAGAACATAGGGGTAAAATGTAGATTTTGGCTTATATCTCTGAAACCAAAGCATTTAGAGTAAATCTGACAAGATAAAACTGATTATCAGGTCAAGATCTATCTGCCCTGAAATTTTCAGACAAATCTGACAACCTGTTGTTGGGTTGCTGCCCCTGAATTGGTAATTTTAAGGAAATTTTGCAGTTTTTGGTTATTATCTTGACTATTATTATAGATAGAGATAAACTGTAAACAGCAATAATGTTCAGCAAAGTAAGATCTACAAATAAGTCGTCATGACCAAAATTCTCAGTCGACCCCTTTAGGAGTTGTTGCCCTTTATAGTCAATTTTTAACAAATTTTCGTAAATTTTTGTAATCTTTTACAAAAATCTTCTTCTCTGAAGCTACTATGACAAATTTAACCACACTTGGCCATAATCATTATTAGGGTATCTAGTTTAAAAAATGTGTCCGATGACCCCACCTTCCAACCATCATGGCCGACTTGGTTAAAAATAGAACATAGGGGTAAAATGCAGTTTTTGGTTTATATCTCTGAA